AGTTAATTATCTCTCAAACAAATTTATCATCTTTTAAAGTAGTGTATAACTATTGGTTTGTTCTTGATTTTTTGAGATATTATGTTATATTCAAAACAATGTGCAATGTGTTTTTATATGCAATGTTTATATGCAAAATATGTTTTTATGTGCAATATGTTTTTAAATGCAATATGTTTTTATGTTTTAATTAAATAACGCTCTACAAAATTTTTTATATAATTCAAGCTAAATCACAATCTTTTTTAATAATTATAATTGTGATAAATATTAATATTGATATGTGATAAATATTAATATTGATATGTGATAAATAATAATATTGATATGTGATAAATATTAATATTGGTATGTTAGCATAATAATATCATTTGAACAATTGTTTATATTGGTATTTTAAAGTTTGAGGAATCTTTTAAAATTAGACATCAAGCTTGACTTCAATGTTATTTTTCTCATCTTTCTTGCTCCATTTTCTTTTTTTATGTTGTTGGGATTTATTTTTACAATTTTATTTTGTTTATTTTCTAAATTCTTTCTTTTTTTTTTTTTCATACACACTATTGCTAGTTGCACTAACAGCTAAGCCATGGCCAGCTTTTCTGAACTAATGCTTTTCCTTTCCAATAATGTTACTTATTTAAAAAAAGCTTTTGTGACCTGTGATACAGTCTAGGTTGTGATAAGTTGTGGATCCACTTTATCTATATTTTATGTCTATATGTTTGCAGCTAATGAAGTTGTCAAATAACAATTTAATATTATTAGTATTATTTTCATATTAGAGTGTAGTATTAACACACCATGGGTTAGGGTTAGGGTCAGGGTTAGGGTTTAGAGTGTAGTATTAACACACCATGACATTTGATTGATTTCTGTTCATCCAGCTATCAAGAACTGCTTTAAAACTGTTAAACAATTGTGCATTAACCAACTTGCTTGGCTATTCCATAAATTAGCTGATCTATTAAATAAAAAATGTTTACGACACGCTTGGTTAGTGATATCTTGGAAATAATTTTTTTTTATTGTTTCCAAATTGTTAAAACTGTTAAAGAATTTTAAAAGTTGAATCAAGTCTCCTCTTCGTCTCTTTTTTTTCAAGGTACAATCTAATAAACCAATTTTACTCTTTCGAATAGGTGACCAACTGGTACTGCAAACTCTAACAATAGTTGCACAAAAGAAATACAAAAAACATGAGTCTAATATCTAAACAAATGAAGCATTTTTTAATCCTACCCAACATTTGGTTAGCTTTGCCTATGCATTTTATTACATGATTTTTTCATTTCAGATTGCTTGAGAAAATTACTCCAAGATCCTTTTCAGATTCTGGTATGTTTAACTTTTGTTCGTTGATATAAAGGGGAGGTGTTTTGTTATTCCTGCCAAAGTGCAGGACCATACTTTTTGAAATGTTAATTTTTACAAGCCAGTCTTAAAAGCTAAATAAAGATCTGATTACAAAGAAAAAGTTGATGAATAGGATATGGTCATATCATTCAAAATTTTGGTGTCATTTGCATATAGCTTGGTTGGGTTTCAGGCAAGTTGTTTATAAATAGCACATACAAGAGTGAACCAATTAATGACCCCTGTGGCACACTACTGGTAATTACTGACCAAGAGGTTACATTTTTGCATATCACAACTCTTTGTTTTCTTTCTTTTAAAAATGCTTCAATCCATTATATTGTCAGACCAGATATTCCATAAGCTGTTAGTTTAAGCAACAATCTTTTATGTGGGACTGTGGTCATATGTCCCTGGAGAAATCTAAAAAAAAAAACATTAATAGGATTCATTACCACTCTCAGCTGAAATAGAATTTTTTTGTACAGAGGAGTGATCTAAATTGCAGCTGGTTTCAAATGACTCATATAAAATATATGAGTATATTGCCATTCCACATACATAAAAGTATATGTATGGGGAATGGCAAAGGCTGATGCACAACTTTTTAAAATGGCTGAATGTAAATAACACTACTTGATTTGTTTTCTTTTAAGTTTCTTAAACTCCGAAACACGAACCTTGACAAGCAAGGCCGCTGCGCGAAGAAATTAAGTTGAGCGCAGTACTTCCAGGGACATGGTGGGAGTCGAACTCTTTTTAACCAAATTAAACTCAAAGTTTTGTTGCATTTTTTTATTTTCTGCATTTTTGCAAATCATTTTGTATTTAGATTTCACACCAGGTCTTTCCATTTACATGAGAGGTTTTTATATCTTATTTTTATTTTTGTTTGCTTCTAATAAGAAACTTTAACCTAGCATTAACCCAGGCTGGTCTGATTTTTAGAGAGTTTAATGTCTTTTTAATTGGACTGATTTTTTACAGCAAGGTGACATGAAATCATGTCACCTCGCTCTAAAAAATCAGTTTATCAAACATTTCTTGTACATTTTATTACGGAAGCATTGTATCTAGTCAACATTTGAAATTAGATCAGATATGAGTTCAAAATTGGAATTAGAAACAAACATAAATCTTTGCTTGCTTTTATTGTCACAGGTTGCTTTATCAGACAAGATAAAACTGAAACATATTATTAGATAATATGTTCCAGGCCTTTGTTTATATTTCCCAAAACAAATTTTGAATCTATTTCATTAACACTTGCTGACTGAGTTATAAAGACCAAATCTAAGGTATTCAAAATGTGTTCATTTGACAGCTGAAAAGTTGGTATGTTAATATTCTGTTAAAGAAAATTATCATTTAAAATAATTGTAAATTTATATTCAATTCCATTCTTATTTGAAATTACATCAACACAGCCATTTGACCAGCTGATTGATGGGAAATTAAAGTCGCGCATAATCAGTAAGTCTTTGAACTCATTTTTGTCTATATGTTTGCATACCATGTCGAAAACCACATCAAATTCTGTCATATCTATAAAATGATTTGGCCTGTAGATACATCCAAGTAAATACATGTCATTATCAAAATAAACAACTGCCCACACTTGGTCTAGTTTACAGGGATTTAAACAGTATTATTTAGTTCATAGGCTAGTTCATAGGCTATAGTTTATTATGCTAATTAGAACTAGTTAAGTCCGACTTATTCTAGAGAACAAAAAAATTGTTTTCGATGATTTTTAAGAATTTTTTAAATGACATTTTGCAATATGTATTTCTGTCTATGATTGGGGAAAAAATTTCAACCAACAATAAATGTATATGCAAAGTATCTGATCTTCTTAGGATAAAAGTTATAGTATTAAATTTGCTTTTATTTGGTATAGTATAGATATATAGTAAGATACCTTAGGTATCCTTTGTATTGGAGTGGGCATGCATTTTAGTTTATATCATAGAACTAAGTTATCCAATTCAAATAAGTTGTTGAAAAAAAAAACGTGAAGTCTATGTTAAATTTGTTGCAAGTTTTTTCTTTGACTTAGGAGATTGAAGATCTTTCTACGTCATTAATTTTATTTTATGTACTTTACCTCTATCATCAAGATTTTGTCTGTTGAAAAAATACTAACTTTTTCTCAAGTTTCAACTTAGTTTTTACTTATACATTATTTGCTGTAAGTAATACATTTTGTTTAAAAAAATACCTTTCACAAGTCTTCTGGGTTATTTTGAACTCCCCCAATACCATTTGTTGTAGAGAACTTTAGTTAGTGTCAAGATTTGCATGCTTATTTTATATAAGAATTTTGTAAAATAAACCACAGACCATATGAAAACATGAATATTAAATTTAAAAGTAAGTCAAATTTTTAATGTTAGCAAAAATTAGTTAGCACTATTTAATGCCAAATAATGGGTGAGGTTGCCTAAGTCTTGATTTAAAAATTTGCAAAATGACTTGACTGCAAATTGGCTTTGTAAAATATATCTGGTACCAGGTACTCAGGCCCAGATCTGGTATTTTTAGTTAAGTACCCAGAATTAGAAATTTAGTTGAACTTGTTCTGAAACATTACTTACATATTAGATACTGTATTAAATATTCCACTTCCATATTAGATATTGTATTAAATATTCCATTATTTTATTAATATTACCTAATATTGTTTAGTATTTAATTGTTTTTTATGGTCATCTGAAATTTTTTCAATGAGAGGGTTCAGTAGCAATATAATTTTTATTTTTAAGCCTAACATCCCCGGTTTCACATTTTTTCTGGTTTAGACAAGTATCCATAATTCCATTTTTTTATTTAAACATGACATTATAAAAAAGGAAAATTTATTTTTTTACAATCTTCTCCCACCAAAAACCTATTTTGCAGATCAAGAGTATTTTTATGGTGATACTACTAGGAAGATTCCTAAGCTCCTCCCTCTCTTACCCATAACTATATAAGAAGGTTTTGTAATAATAATCAGACTTTTCTTTGCTATTTTAACCACAGAGTCTTGTCTTGTCAAAGTCTTGTCTGCCATAAAATCTGTTTCATGTCATGATTAAGACATTAATATAAGTATGATATAAGTATGAAATATTCAATTAAAAAAATTTTTTTTAAATTTTAGATAGAAGCATTGATCAAAACTCAAACAAAATGGCCGAAGCAAATAGTTTAAAAATATTTGGAACTGTTGAAAGATCTGGAGACATGCATGACTACAGTATAAAAGTTAAAAAAAATTTTTTACAATACAATGAAATCTTATCGCTCACAACTTTTTCTAATGGATTGCTTAAGTTTTATGCAGAAGATGGCTCTCGTACAAGTGGACGTAAGTAGACATTTTTTTTTTGGTATTAACTATACTTAATTTGTAATAAATTTAATGATTTTTTATTTTTATTATATTTATTCAAAATGGCTTTTTATTAGAATGAATTTTTAATCTTTAATTTTGAATATAATAATCTAAATATAAATCATATTTAAATTTAAATTAATATATTCAAAATTAAAGATAAACTTTAAATATTAGTGGGGTAAAACTGTTTTTACTATTTAAGTCCCCTTCAAGATAAAAGTTGTTAAGCAATTGTTCTTCAAAAAAGGAAAAATCAAATGTATTGAGGGCTGTTTGAGGTCAAGGTGTTTGAGGGCTGTTTAAATAAAAAAGTTATTGTTTTTTTTTTTTTGTTTTTTTTGTTTTTACATTTGTTAATATCTATATTTTCTATTTAAAAAATAAATCTATATTTTCATTTTAAAAAATCATGTCATCATCTTTTTTAGAAATTCCAAGCTAAAACAATATTTAAGAAAAGAAAAAAATGAAAAATTTATATTTTGGAAGAGGTTATGAAATCAGCAAGTCATGTATTTTTATATTTAAAGTTCATTCAGATGGACAACTGGAAAAATTGAAGCCGTTTTACAAGTTTTTGTTAAGTTCTAGATTTTAATGTAACCAGTCTTAGAAATGGGATAGGATAAGGAATAAAGTCTTGTACTCCCCCTCCCCTTCATATCCTTCCCCCCTCCTCCCTTCCCCCCGCATACACCTTTTTTTTTCTCTGCATAATTGAACCAAAACAAAAAAATGCTATGATTTGAACTAAATAAGTGATTATCCATTTAATAAAAATCTTTACAAATACTGTCAAAATAGACTAAACATGATTATGCGTATAAAATAGTAAAATGAAATAAGTATTTTAAAGTGAGTAACAATTTTCAACAATTTCCTTTTTTTTAAAAGTCTACAATTTTCTTTTCTTTAGTTGAGAGAATGATACTTTCTTCTTTTCTTATTTTTTTTTTATAATATTACTTTTTTCCCACATCAAGATCTCTATATATTATATTACTTTGTTGACAGTTAAAGTCTGTTCTGCTTGTAATCTTCATTTTGGTACTTTTTCAAAAACTGTTGCATCATTCCAGTTGCTCATTCAGATCGATCATTGATAACAGTTGATATTTTAGCAAAATTTTCAAAATTCTTAAATGAAAACTTGGTGTGCCAATATTTTTTTTTTGGGGGGAGGAGTGATAACCAGTCTCTTACTCTCTGATCATCCAACCCTATTGTTTTGAAATGTTGAAACCATTCTTGTCAAGTTCTTATGGATGGAGCAGCTGTCATAAGCTTGGACAAGCTTTTGACTGCCTGCCCAAACCAAACCCTCAGTCGATGTAGCAGCACTCCCTTGCGAGTCAGGCTATTTGTCAGTCGATGTAGCAGCACTCCGTTGTGACTCAGGCTATAAGATAGTCGATGTAGCAACACTCCCTTTTAGCAGCAGGCTATAAGATAGTCAATGTAGCAACACTTACGCATGTTTTAAAAATGTTTTTTAATAAAAAACAATAAAATTTAATGTACTTTTAAAAAACAATAAAATTTAATGTACTTCCGCATTAATTTAATTGCTTTGACATTTCAACGACAATAAAATGCAGCTTAAGAGACAAGGTAAAAAAATTGTAGTCAAAAGATTTCGACTACAATTTTTTTACCATAAAAGTCTCTTTCGACTACACTATAAGGATATATATATATATATATATATATTTATATTATATATATATATATATATATATATATATATATATATATATATATATATATATATATATATATATATATATAAACAACAATATCATAGATTTTAGTATTGTTTGTCTAATATAATAGTATAATATTATAGTGTATAATATTGTTTACTTACAGCAAATTTGGTTGCAAGTTGGAGGCAAAGTGAAACCAGTCCTGAAATTAAAATTAAAGGTGTGTTTGAAACAGTAGGAATTTTAAAACCTTTTTCTATAGAAGTTCAAAAAAATGGAAAATTTGATTTGCTATTGGAATCAAAGGAGAGATTTTTTGATGAAGTGCAAGCTGTTGTCACAATAACTCAAAATAAAACAATTGATGTCTTAGATGATGCGAATCCATATGTAAGTTTTTATTATTGTATTATAAGGGTAGGTGGAGTTTGATAGGATTGGTTGTTCAATGGATCAAGGGGCTCAGGAATCCAGAATTTCTCAAAGATCCAAACAATAAATTTCCAAACAATTGAATAAATCCATTTGCTAAAGTCCTTTTCTTACCAACTTGCCTTGTGATTTAATCAATCATATATCTAAACAAAACCATATTTTTTATTGTTTCATGCAACTTTTTCATGGTTGTTTTAAACATTTTTTTGTCTTTAAAAGAAAAACGTTTGAAAAAATTGTAGAACAAATTAAATTTTTAAGTTTAATTGTTAAGTTATTTAGTCCTAAAACACAAATATTGTCACACTTTTATAACATGTATTGCACTTATGTAACATGTGTTACACTTTTGTGTGACACAAGACCAATGATGCACCAATGATGGTGTACCAATTTGTCTATGTTACACCAGTTTTGCATTAAGAATGGTCTCAGTGTTGTATAATACAGAAATGTTGGTACAAAATTTATTATTAATTTACATATCAGATTATTTTATGCTCAACTGGAGAACTGTGATATAGTAAGACATTAATTTTTAATAATCATGTACAAATGTAATTATTATTTACATAACAAAATTTATATATACATAAATGCTTATTATTCACAACAATGTGTATGAAATTGTAATATATAATAATATAATAGTTGCAAGTAAACATTATTCTTTTGTTATCATCATTTTTTATTTTTTATTATTAGTTTTTTGCAAACTTAATTGCTGAGAAATCTCATATTCAAAGTAAAGTGAAAGATTATCTGATAAGTTTATCAAAACAATTTAAAAGAGCATACAATGGATTTGAGTTTCAGAACAACGGAGAAGATGAGGTTTATAAACCTGTAGCTGATGCTAGAGAAATTCTTTTACCATTGCATGAAACAATAAAGATTGAAATACAAAAGTTAAATGATTTAAATGAAATTTTAGATGTAGAATGTGTTGATAAATGCAATGCAGAAGGAACAGGTAATATTCATAAAAACAATAAAAAAATATTATTATTTTTTTTTTATATATACTTGTTTAAACTTAAAATTTAAAGCACTTTAAATTAAAAAAAAAAGTTTAATAAAAATTCAAATTGAAAAAAGTTAAGAATATATATATATATATATATATATATATATATATATATATATATATATATATATATATATATATATATATATATATATATATATATATATGTATATATATGTGTATATATATATATATATATATATATATATATATATATATATATATATATATATATATATATATATATATGTATATATATGTATATATATATATATATATATATATATATATATATATATATATATATATATATATATGTATATGTATATGTATATTTATATATATATATATATATGTATATATATGTATATATATATATATGCATATGTGTATATATATATATATATATATATATATATATATATATATATATACATACCAGTAATAAGAGTAATTTTTTGGTAGACAGTGCTCAATACAAAAGTAGAGCAAATATATATTATATTAAAATAATAATAAAATACAATTAAATTTGTAACATAACTCAGAGTTTCACGCTATATGCGATCATCAGACGTTACAAACAACCATAACAACAACAAAAATTATATACAAAAATACAATACAGTGTTAGCTTAGATGACGTTAAAGTTGCAGATAACAAATTTGTTTTTGTGGCGACATTTAGATATTAATTCATTTCGCTTATTTAATAGTTTCAAAGGTGATGTAATGATATGGTATTTTTCCGTTAAACAAAGGTTACATAACTTTCTTCCAGGTTTAAAAGGTTCTGCCCTATCAATAATTTTCCACATAAGAATAGGATTTGAATATCCCTTTTTTTTCATTTCCCAGATATATTTAGAAAGCATTTTTAGTGGCATTAGCTTTTGTGTTGGAAACATTAGATAATACTTACATTTTACATTACATAATACTTTACATTAACAATTGTGTTGGAAACATTAGATAGTACTTTTTTATTGTGTGAGTTGATAATATTGGTGAAGTTTGGAAGACAACTATAACTGACTTTTAAATTATTTTTATTAAAAATTTTGCGAAACTTATGTGTCTTTGGAAAATGCTTTTCAATTAGATTTAAAAAAGTTTTTGCGACGTTGGTTTTTACATTTTGCGAAAACGGAGGATTAAACCAAATAATGTTTCGTGATCTTGATTTTGGTTTTGGTGGGGTAAGATTTTTTTGAAAAGTAATCTTTTCATTGAACCCACTTGCTGCTAACGCATTGTTATAAAATGATGTTGCTCTATCGAAAACTTCTTTGCTAGATGAAATATTGCTAATACGGTTGGATATCATAGTTGGTATGGATTTAATAATACTAGGAGGGTGGTTAGAATTTACGTTGATGTATAATGGGTGGTCACCTGGTTTTCTGTATGACTGGAAAGTATTTTCTAACAGGTTGAAGGTAACATCAAGAAAGTTTACAACTTTTAAGTTGGTTTTTATAGTAAGTTTTAGATTAAATTTCTCCTTAAAAAGACAAACGATGTTTTTCTTTATTCTCTCAGATTGTGGTCCGTTAATTCCATGAAAACAACAAAGCCCATCATCTCTATATAATCCAACGGTTTTCAACCCATAGTCTTGACTTATAGTATGTAAAATAAAGAGTCCAACTAACTCACACACTTCAACCCCATCGTAACTTCCCATAGTGACGTCAAAATTAGGATCACTAAGTTTTTTGACCCAGATACTATTGTGTTCAGTAAACAGTAATGATTTTCTTGAATGATTAATAATAAGAAAGTAAAGCTAATGCCACAGAACTTTCTAAACATATCTGGGAAATGAAAAAAAAGGGATTTTCAAATCCTATTCTTACGTGGAAAATTATTGATAGGGCAGAACCTTTTAAACCTTGGAGAAATTTATGTAACCTTTGTTTAACGGAAAAATACCATATCATTACATCACCTTTGAAACTATTAAATAAGCGAAATAAATTAATATCTAAATGTCGCCACGAAAACAAATTTGTTATCTGCAACTTTAACGTCATCTAAGCTAACACTGTATTGTATTTTTGTATATAATTTTTGTTGTTGTTATGGTTGTTTGTAACGTCTGATGATCGCATATAGCGTGAAACTCTGAGTTATGTAACAAATTTAATTGTATTTTATTATTATTTTAATATATATATATATACATATATATATATATATATATATATATATATATATATATATATATATATATATATATATAATATATATATATATATATATATATATATATATATATATATATATATTTATTAAAAACATTTAAATAAAATAATTTATTTTATTTGAATGTTTTTAGATTTTTTGTAATAATTGTTCTTTTAAAAAAATTCTTTTAAAATTCTAAGTAAAAAATGCTTCAACAAAATTTATCATATAAACTAAAAGAAAAGCTAAATATCGTTTTGCTTAACTTTTATTAATTAGTGAAAATTTTGCTGCTACCAGATGGATAGAACAAAATTTAGTTAATTTCTTGACAAAAAATGTTACAAAAATATATGTTTGATGAAAGATTGAAAAGTTTATTTCTAAAATGCTAATTAGATCTTTAATATTCGGTTTTGGAACAGAGATCTAAACTATGTTTAACATAACTTAGATCTCTATTCTAAATCCAATTATTAAAGATCCAATTAGCAATTTTGAAATAAAATTTATAACAGTTATATAAGTGTATTAGAAAGTATACTCAAAACAATCCAAGTTAAAGCCACCCAAAATATAACTTCTTTTTTTTCTTCTGACTAGTTTTTTTTTTGACTAGATTTTCTGTTTTTCGGTCGGAGGGTTATAGCAACAGCTGAATAAAATGTTTTTAGAATTTTTGTATATATATGAGAAACTGGTGCATAATGGAGTACTGGGATAAAATAGTTTTTTGCAAGTGGGCCTTGTTCTGAGTGTGGAAACAACAAAACAGTGATTGTTTTCACACTCAGAACAAGGTTCACTTGCAAAAAACCATTTTGAATTATCATATGACAAAATGCCACCATCAGTTGCATTAGTTTCAAATTTTAGCAAAATTTGTTTTAACTAAATGTGACTTGAATTGAACTTCAATCTAATTTAACCGTGTCATATTATATGATGCAGAATTTTATTATTTCATGTGATAGGTTGAGGTGCCAGGGGATTTAACAGAGTGGCTGTGGATTCTTTTTTTTTTTTACTGGAAGATGTTAATAATGTAAACAAGCGGCATGTAAAAAATATCTGGAATTGTGACAAAAAAGGTATGGGAGTTTTATGCTGCCCATGACGATCTTTACTTAAAAACAAATGAAGCCAGAATTAATTGATAGAGTGCGAACAAGTGCTTGGGCTGAATATCATTCAAGCGGATAGATACAAAAAGAATTGTTTATGTTTGGTTAAAAAATTTGTTCAATATTCAGGAGCCAAAACACGCTCTTTAGTTCTACTTATTTTAAATGAACATAACACTCTCATACTAGAGTATTGAACTGATTAACATTGCAAGAGAGAATAGTATAATTTTTCTGTGTTTGTCTCCTAATTGCACACATCAAATGCAGCCCTTGGATTTAGTCTTTATGAAGCTACTTAACATTTACTATGCCTACAATATCAAGAAATGGTTGAGAACAAATCCTTGGCGTGTGGTCACTAAATTTCAAATAGTAGCTGCACTTTTTGGCTCAGCCTACTTGAAAGCTGTCACAATCATATATGCCATAAACGGCTTTTGAAAAGCAGGCATACGGCCAGTTAATAAAAATGTTTTTTCTGAAGCAGACTTTCTGGCAGCAGAAACTACTGATATTAATTTCATTGAAACAAACCCTGTTGCTGATACATGTTACAAGGCTGTTACTAGCCACCTCTGTGCTTCTGTCAGCCATCTATCTGTAGGTACCAGTCATCCAATGGTATCTACAACCCAGATATCTGCTTTTAGTAGTAATCTGAATGTTTCTAAAGTCCATACAATTGATTCTACAAGCCAATTATCTGATTTTACCAGCTTAATGTCCACTTCTTCCAGCATTTTAACCACTTTTATAAGCAATGTTAATACCACATCATTTCAAAATCTCCAAGGTTTATCATTTCAATACCAAAGCAGTCACTGCAAAGGAGACTACCAAGACAAAGTGGAAAAACTGCAATCCTTACCTCCTCTCCATATAAATCCTTGCTATTAGACACCCTGAGTAAAAATGAGTGAAATAGATAAAAAAAAAAGGAAAAAAGCTATTTAAAAAAATTGTTTTTATTTTAATTATTTTTGCTAGTTTTTTCACAACCTTTCCTTAAGTACCCGATTATATCCCAGTGTTCTGTATGTGTATATATATATTTAAAAACACAGATACTTTTGCATAAAATACAGTTTATGTTAAAACTATTGTTTCATTGAGAAATATAATGAAAGCTGTGTGCTTTTATTATGTATATATATATATATATATATATATATATATATATATATATATATATATATATATATATATATATATATATATATATATATATATATATATATATATATATATATATATATATATATATATATATATATATATATATATATGGAGGTGGTATTATAATGAAATATAATAAAAGCACACAGCTTTCATTATATTTCTCAATGAAACAATAGTTTTAACATAAACTGTATTTTATGCAAAAGTATCTGTGTTTTTAAATGCTTGCCTAACTATGTTAACTGTATTTAAGGAATCATCGACATGCTTTGGCATATTGCCAACAATACTGAAGTTACTACTTAACCAATTCTGATTTTTTTTTTTTTGCTCAATAATAAAAAAATAAATAAATTTAAAAATATCAGGCAAGATTTCAATATCAGGCAAGATTAGAAAAACTTATATTATTTATATTATAATTAACTTTTCCCGCTTAATAAAAAAAAAATATTTAAAAAAAAAATTTTTTTTTTAGTTTTCTTAATTTTTATATGATTATACAACATTTGGCAAAAATAAAAAAACTTGTTAAACTGTTTAGTGAGAAGATCTAGATTTTAATTTTACATCTGAGAAGATTTAGATTTCAAATCAAGACTTGAGAAGATTTGGTTTTCAAATATAATTCTGAAAATTAAAAAATTTGAACGAATTTGGAGCAGCTTCAAAATTTAGATGAAATTGTGACACATGGAGTATTCAATTTGAACTATGATAAATATTTAGCTCCAAATTTAGTTTCAAAATTCAGGAAAACTTTTATTAACCATGTTCTGTTAACTACACTTTGCCAACATTTCTGTATTATGCAAACCCTCTGGATAATAATTTGCTTTTGATTTTAGGTTTTTTTTTAATGGGGATCAAATGTCAGCATTTTGCATCAGAGATGAGTTTTGAATAATCTGAATTTGTAAATCACTCAAATCACAATGAATTTTAAGTGACAAAACATTATCTGCAGACATATTTAGCGATGTTTATCACTTTTGTTTGTTTTTCTTATTAGATTTTTAGAAAGTATTTTAATATTTTCTTAAGTCTCACATTCTAGGACTTGATTTTACACATACAGTAGCAGCTTCTGATAATTCTTAGTTGTATGGGTTTTAGAAAAACTAAAATAACACAATCATTATAAGACTTCCTTTCTCTATGTTGACGATGTATTGAAGTGAAATCAACACACATAGTTTTCTTTTTTTTTTATATGAGTTTACTTCACTACAGTTATACATATTTTTATTAAGTTATATTTTATACTAGAGGTTTTTAAAAATTAATTCAATAATAACTTTTAAACTACATTTCTCCTCCTTTTTCTGTCTAATTTTTTTCTGAACTTTTTCTTTCAAAGTTAAATTAGAATCAGTATTTTTGCTTTTAGATTCAACTTTTTTTTTATTTTTGCTTCTAAAATGACAAGCAAAATGACATTTGCATGATTAGTACCAACCTTTTAACATTATTAAACTTAATTGATGTAATTTGTTACTGCTAGTCATAAGCTATTTTTAGTATATAATTATGCCCTCAAGAATTTTTGTTTCTATATAAAAGTTATAAATAGAATTTAATATGCAGAATTAAAATAAAAGTAAATAAATTTGTCGTATTAACACAAGTTAATGTATTCAAGAGTTCACAAGTCTAATTTTTTGATTTTAGACAGACCTTGAGTTTTTAAATTTTTAGTTGGATCCAATTTATATTTAAAATCCAATTATTGATATGAAATTTAATATCTATTTTCTATTTTATATTTCATAACTTAGTTGACATACCTGATATTGTTTGGGATAGTGAAAAAGGGAAAATGCTGTTAGTTCCTGATGAGTTCAAGACTGCAAATGTTAGTTGCATTGTTGCGTGTGAATTGGAAAAATCTCACGCTGCATCTAACTATGAAAATAAAATCAATGAAATCAAGGTATTATAAGTTAATCATGAAAAAAATTATTAATAATAACAAATAACTGTATTTCACACAATGTTTTTAGTAATTAAGTTTTTACAGCAATATTTTATGTAATATTTGCATCAAATAATTGTTTTTTGTATTATTTTGCAGGTACTGACAGAAAAGTATGATGATTTAATGGTTCAAGCTGAGGAAATTCAAGAACTGTACATTACACATGAGAAAAAGATTCGCCAAGAGATAAATCATTTTAAGAACTCAAAAAAACAATTTTCTGATTTTCCTAACTTTCCCGAAAATGATGATGAAAACTTTTTTGAACTTGTTTCAATTGAAATTAAAGGAAATGTAAGAGCAAATAAAAACTTTAGTAAACTCTAATACACTTATTTACTATTTGTTAATATTGTTATCTGTTATTTTAGTTTTTATCTAAAACTTATTATTAGTATTTCTTGTTTACCTATTTTTATGTCATATATTATTTTTGTTATATATATATATATATATATATATATATATATATATATATATATATATATATATATATATATATATATATATATATATATATATTATTTTGTACTAGATGAATGAAATAAAAGTAAATGGGGACAAATGTGTTGATAATATTTCTGGAGAATACAAAATGTTTGGTGTTCAAAAAAGTTTTTCATTTCGCCAATGTTTTAATGGGGAATACATAAGCTATTTTGCTAATCGTAAGTTAAGTTGCAATGATTTAGTTGAATTGTCTATTAATTTCCTTTGCAGCATCAGTAACACCTAAACTTATTATGTTTCATTAAGATTATTCTTTTTTCCCTATAGATATGCTGATTCAGCAAGTCTTATATATACTATTGATATTTTAATAAAATCTTTGCATAAATAGTCTAGAGTCCTGATGTTTATTATTTTTATCTAATTTACAAGTTTTTATATATATTTTTTTATATTTTTTATAAGACCAAAGTTTTGTAAAAAATATATTCCTAAATATTTTTGTTGCTTTTAGCTCTAGTTATAGTGACCACAACTATTGCTGACCATATTACTAAAAAAATCACTAGTGTTTTAATAGAAAGTTTATCTAGTTTTAATTCTTTCTTAATCTAAGATTTTGTAATGAATATAGATTGAGGTTTAATTAAGCATAGAAACTTTTTTTTTCAACAAAGTAAAATTAAAAGCTGAAATTCTTATTAAAATTATTTTATTGTTTGTATAGATTTTTTTCTTAAAATTTGGTCAATCATGATCTTGATGGTTAATTTTGATTAATCATGATTTAGATCGTGTCAATGGGTTAATTTTATAATTTTATTTTTTCATTGAATAAGAAACTTTTGTTTACTTTAGGCAGTAAAAAAATCCAGGAAACAATTTTTCAAAACTATTATTTATAATTCTTTATAAATTAATAACTTAAAGAAACAAACAATAGAATTATAAACTTTATTTATAATTCTTTTGTTTGTTAATGTGAAAAAAAACTAATGAATTATATAATATAATTTAAAACATATCAACATTTTTGAGCTTTATTAGAAGATAATTAAAATTTTTTAAAGTTATTTGTCTTTAGCTAAGTAAAGGTGTCTTTAGTATGTAAAAGAAAAATTGAAATATCAAAAGTAATACATTTTTTTTTTCAAAAGTAATGTATAATTATTTTCTGATTTAATTTATTTATATTGTTTAAATTTTATTTTAGAGTTAGCTCATAAATACTTAGGCAGTAAATTTCATAATCTGCAAGATCTTTTGAAGCTATTTGATCATTGTCTAGCTAAACATGAGAGAAACTTAAAAAATCTGAAAGATTCATTGACAGAGTTTTTTGCAGTAAGATATCTAATATACTTTAATGTTGTGTCTTATGTGAAAATTTATATAACATAAAAATCTAATATTTTAGAAACATAAACTTGATGAATTGCAACTAAAAGAAAAACGTTCGTTCACAAAGTTTACTGTTTTACCACACCGTAGAATGACTGGAGTTGTGAGAAAGCTACCCAAACATACATTGGTTTTTGGTACTCGTTCAATATATATGCCACAAATAAGTGAAAAAGATCGCGCTAAACTTAAAGAGAACAAGTTTACTGTGACACGTAGTATGAAAACACGTGCTACATTTATGTACAGCTCACCATGGGCAGCTGTTAGTACTTTAAATTTTGTAAAATCTTTTGAAAATGCAGATGTTTTTGTGCATGATGTGGTTCACAAAAGTAAGGACTTAATTTTTTTTTTACTAGCTGCTTTTATAATAAAATACAAAAATACAATACTGACACTCATTAAACCTGTTATATATAAAAAATAATGAAAAAGTTGTTATTATTATTATTATTATTATTATTATTTTATATATATATATATATATATATATATATATATATATATATATATATATATATATATATATATATATATATATATATATATATATATATATATATATATATATATATATATATATATACATATATAATTTTCTACTCATTTATTATTGCTCTGTTTTTTTAAGAACATAACAAGTCCAAAAAAATCACTAGTTAACAACATCAATTTTCTCACAAAAATACAATAGTTTAATATCAAATACTAAATTAATTTTTAATATTAAGTATTATTAGTAATTTTTATATAACTTTACATATATCAGGATGACTTTTAAAAATTGTTAATTAATTACCATGTTATATTTTATGACCTCTGCATAAATTATATTTTAATTTGTGTGAAAAATTTGGCAGATTAATTGATTTTTATTAATACTCTTTCAGGTATTTTAAAATTTGAGATTTCAAATCCAAGACTTGTTTAATTTTTTCATTAAAATTAATACGTTTTTTTTTCATTAAATTAATATTTAAGTTTTTTTATTTTATTGCAGTTTTTTTTAATTATTTTTTATAATTTCAAATTTTTTGATTGCCCAAATTGTGTACATTTAAAGCATGAAGGAATGAGAGACAAAAGACATAAAAGCATTCTGAGTTCATTACTAATGTTTTTGTCTACCAAATATATTATTCTAAAATCATTTTCAAAAACGTTTAATGTTTAGAATAAGTATTGGGTCAAATTCTAGCAACACTGTTTGAAAGAGCGTAATGTTCTTTTGCAATGTGCATGAATTTTACCGCTTATTTAGCATTATCAATATCTGTATTTCATATTTTGAAATGTTGTGATTGTGCATCAAATGTTGTTTTCTTACATCAAATAAAGATGAAAATTTGTTGTTTGTCCCTTAAGTCAAGACTATTTTTGCATTGTTTATATCTGAAAAATTGCTACGTAGCAATTCTTTCATTACTTGGCTTAACGATACTAAATTTCTTGTTGCCTTTTTTAAATAATTTTCATTTCAAAAAATACTTTATATTTAAAAAAGGATTTTATTTTGGATCTAATTAGGTAAATTAATCCCAAAATATTTTCACATGGCACAACAAAAAAGTTTTAATGGTTTTAACAAAAGCATTTGTTTTTATTTAAAGTTGCATACTTTAAAATTGAAAATAAAAAATGTTCTGGTTTGATATAATATTAAATTGAAACCAATCATACGATATATCGATTTATTGAGATATTGTTGTATACATAGTGTGTGTGTGTGTATAATGTATATGTGTGTATATATAATATATATACACACATATATATTATATATATATATGTGTGTGTGTTTTTGTGTGCGTGTATATATATATATATATATATATACACATATATATATGTGTGTATATATATATATATATATATATATATATATATATATATATATATATATATATATATATATATATATACATATATATACACACATATATTATATATATGTGTGTGTGTTTGTGTGTGCGTGTATATATATATATATATATAAATATATGTGTATATATATATATATATATATATATATATATATATATATATATATATATATATGTGTGTGTATATATATATATATATGTATATATATATATATATATATATATATATATATATATATATATATATATATATATATATATATATACACATATATATACACATATATATTGTTGTATTTAGAATCCCATTGCAATACTGTTGAACATATTAGTAATCAATATTCAGATATATATCACAGCCTTCGATCAATTTCCGATTCTTATGAAAAGACTTCGTTTAAGTTGAATCAAGTTTACAGTTCTATGAAGAAAGGTGTTGGGACATTGAAGAATAGAGCCAGTTTGTTTATTTTGTTCAGTTTTTTAAATGTTGTTTTCTAAAACGAGGTTGAGTTTTTTAAGTCAAATTATTTGAAAAAATTAAAGTAAAAAAAATTGTATTTTTACACTAGTTATATCATCAAACACCAACAATTCATTTAGTAGTGATGAGTCTTATTGGATAAGACAACTAGAAAATGGTACGTTTTTTATTTTTTGTTTGTTTTTGTTTTCGCTTTTAACTACATTTTGTTTTCTTTTGCTCTTCTTTTTTTTTGTTTGTTTGTTTTTTTTTTTGCAACTTTTTTGTAAAAAAATTTCAACATAAAATTTATTGAAAAAAAAATTGTTTGGCTGAGAATCTGCCGTTCTTAGAAAAACTTTTTAACATAAAATCACTCACAAGTGAAACATAACATAACAAAAATAACATAAATGTTATTCCGTTATTTAGAGTTCCATTATTAAATTTAACTTGTTTAAATTGTTTCTAATGAAAATCATAGTCGCTCTATTTTCAACGTCTTCGTTTTTGTATGTCGGTATGATACCATAATTTTTAAGAATCTTAAGGCGAGCTTTCCACTCATCCGTTTTTCTACGGAAACGGGAAAGGAAAAGAAAAAATAATTACTTAAACATGTGTAAATTTGTCTGAAGGAAAACTGCGCAAGTTCACGTGATTGTTTTTCCGTTACCTTTCTCGTTCCGTAGAAAAACGGATGAGTGGAAACTCATCTTTATAATCAATGTTTTGAGTAAACTTTATTTTTAGGTATGAACTTATATTCGGAGTTAGTTGCAAAAAAGTTATCCGATCATAGCGCAACGGCGTTAAATTCGTTCAAAAACAAATTTCAAGATGGCTTGAAAAGAAATGGTATTCCTGACATTCCTACCTTTATGAATGTATTGAGGAAACGATTTCATGCGGCATCAAAACGATCATTTACTCCATCTTCAAGATTAATGGATTTATCATCCGCTACAAAGCTGTCAAATGTATGTCTTGATCTTGGATTAATTTTATGTATATTGGTTTAACACTTTTTGATATTATCTGCAATTACGCGTTATATTTTAATTTTATTATATGGCAATTTTTTTTTTTCAGGGACTGACTTCCGTGCTTAAGAAACCTGAATTAAAGTTAGATGAACTTAGTGAACGCCTTCATGCAATGAAACGATATCTGAAAAATATTAATGTCATTGCTACATCTTGTTCTTGATAAGTTTGTGGAGTATCTTGATAATAGCATGTGCGCCTTTATTGTTTGTGTGTATATATATATATGAAAAAACAAAATGTCAATATGAATTAGAAAGGTCAAATAAAACAATTATGTGTTAGTTAATTTACGGCTTTAATATGTTCACCGGCACTTTAAAAACCACTTTCAAAGCCTCAAAAAAAAAAAAAAAAAAAAAACAGATTGAGTAAACCACCCAGTGGTCGACGTTTTTTTTTTTTTTTTACTTAATAATATATAAATAATAATTTCTCAATTATTTCATAAGTTATCAAAATCAAAGTTTTATCGTATAAAAAAATAGTTGCTTTATAAATATACATTTAGAGTGAATACCAAGGTAAAAAGCTCTATAGAATTTCTATAAACATTAGGCCTACAAAATTTCGATAGAACTTCTATAGTATGCCATTTTATTTCTCTAGGAATGAAGCATTTTTTTCTGTAGAAAAAAAGTTTTTTAAGAATTTCTTTAGAATTTAACATAGATTTTATAGAATTTCTATAGGCTATATGTTTCAAAAGTTTATAGAAATTCTATTGAACTTTTTTTCCTGGGTGACGTTTGAAAATAAATAAAAGGGTTATGGCCCCCAAAATGTCTAACACAAGGCAACATCTTAAGATCGACGTTTTTGTTCTCCAGTATTCGACAATAATAGTTTTTTAATTTAGGTACTTCTTTAAATACAGGTGCTTAAATAAATTTCAAAAAAAAAATGTTTTTTTAAGTTTACAACGTAAACTATAATAAACACACATTAAAGAAAACATTTAAAAGTCTATTTTTTATATTTTACAGCGTAAGATAAAAACTTGTATTTTAAATTAAATTAGGATACATTATTTTTCTGTTGGTTTTTTTAGCACCACAGCTTTCTATACTTTCTTTTAGTCATCATAACTTTATTTGAATACCAGTTGTAGGTTTTTTTTTTCTTTTTTGCAGTTGCCAATTGTACTTGTTTGCAAATATTAAAAAAGTATTAAGTTGGAGTGTCAAGGTAAATATTTACAGAGTACACGCAACTATGCTATTTCAATAGAATTTAAAGGAAATATAAATACTACTTTCAACATAGCTTTTTTCTTCTACATAGCTCGTTGATATTCTATCTGCATATCTTCTTTGTAAATAGTTAAACTATTTTTCCCGAGTGGAAAACGCAATGATTCTAAACAAGAACACTCAATAACCGAGTCATCGCATCCTAATGAACATCTGTAAAAAATATGTACAAATTGAAACGGATGAAATGTTTGTATGGCTGTTGTTTTTTTAAAAAGAAGCCTGAATAATAGTTTGAAAGTTTAATGAGTAAAATTAATTTACAACTTTATAGTTGCGCCTGCTCCCAGTGATTCTATAATATTGGTGCAATATTTATCAGATAAGGTTTGAGTGCTTGCATTGAGCTTATGAATGGAATCTACTTACAGTATTGGACAAAACATTTGCAACCAACATCGAACAATGCTAAAAAGTGTTCCTAACTTTACATGTCTTAAAAACAAAACAAACTATACTACTATTGCAAACAGTTCAGGAGTCTGAAGTCACAGCATGCCATGACGCGAACAATCAGCTGATAGGTGACAGCACACAGGCTTAATTTCGTTGACAAGTGCCATTTTGCAGCGAACAAAACAAATGCAACTTTTTTGGTTTGTTTCATTTTCTTAAATCTGGTCCGTGTCAACGTCACGGAAGTTTTTTAATAATTAAAGGAAGTATCAAGAAGTTTCCAGAAGCATGCAGAAGCTTCCAGAAGTTTCCAGAAGAAGCATCTGAAAGCATCCAGAAGTATCCAAAAACATTCAGAAGCATCCAGACGCATCCAGAAGTTTTCAGAGGCATCGAAAAGAAGCATCTAGAATCTTCCAGCAGCCGTATTCTCATCTCTCCGTTAAGCTTAACGGAGCTTCGGTAGAAAATTTTTTTTAACTACATTTATAAAAAAGGTTCTATACAAATATAATTTTTTAAAAATAAATGTTTTATTTTAGTATTAGTTTTATTTTAAAATATTTAAATAAGGTTTTCGTCATTTCTTCACTTAAAAATATTGTAATTAAATTTCAGAAAAAAGCTTCGTTAAGCTTATTAGAGAGATGAGAATACGGCTGCTGAACAGGTTCACACAGGTTTATTTTACTATATAAGAGACATGTAAACCGACATGTAATTCAGTCAGTATATGGAAGTCAATCAGTCAGTATTATCAAGACAGTTTATCGAAACAAACAAACAAAGGTGGAAGACCACGTTCCACCACTTCTAGAGAGGATTCTATGATCGTCAGATTTGTCAAGAAGGATCCCCGAATATCATCAGCCGAGCTACAAAAGCAATTAGAGCTGCCTGTATCGGACCGAACAATCAGACAACGTGCTGTTGAAGCCGGATTATTTTCTTGACGCCCTGCAAAGAAACTACTGATTTCACTAAAAAACCGGAAGAAAAGACTCCTGTTTGCTACATCTCATACTGACTGGAATGTGTAGAAATCGCGAACTGTCCTGTTCAGTGATGAATCAAAGTTCAACATCATTGGGAGCGATGGCATTTGCTGTGTACGTCGACCGGACGGAAAACGCCTCGATTTACGTTACTTCCATAAGACCATGAAGCATGATGGAAGCAATGTAATGGTCTGGGAGTGTTTTCTGCTAACGGTCTAGGTCCAATACATCGAATCGATGGAATAATGGACCGTTTCATGTATAAAAATATCCTGAAAGATGTTATGTTACCTTATGCTGAATGGAATATGTCAATAAAATGGGTTTTTCAGCGAGACAACGATCCAAAACACACTGCAAAAGTAGTCAAGCAGTGGTTTCAAGACACCCACCTATTGGTGATGGATTGGCCGCCTCAATCTCCAGATCTCAACCCTGTTGAGAACCTGTGGGAGATCGTCAACCACAGAATTAATCGTGAAGGTGTTCGTAATGAGGATCAACTGTTTGAACAAATCCAATTGGCCTGGACAGCGATTCCACAAAGTTCTATTGATCGCCTGATCGAATCTATGCCTTGAAGATGCAAGGCTGTGATCGACAACAAAGGATTCGCCACAAAATATTGATAGCGAAATACAGCTTGGTCAACTTTTGCGGAGTTGCACTTGTTTTGTCCAGAAGGAAATCAACTTTTTTTAATACTTTTGATTAATTTATTAATTTTAGTGTACAAATAATGAACTTTGTAATGAATAAAACTTGAAGAACATTGTCTCTAAACAGTTACATAGTTATTTCTCTAAATTGAAAAAATGCAGCACTTTTGTATAAAGAAACTAAATTAGCATTATTTGGTTACACTTGTTTTGTCCGATACTGTATGTATCATCATATTTGATTCACATGGTATCATCATATTTGATTCACATTTCCCACCACCAGACGAGCTATAGCTTGTCTGATGGTGGGAAACAATATCTCACACTATCAGCCAATCGCTTTAGCATGTTAAGATTGATATTTTGCTATATTTTCACTCAAATAATGTTGTTATATATAACAACATTATTTGTTAAAAATACTATAGTATTTAAAATCACATAGCTTTTTTAGTTTAAGCTGTACATCAAGTGTCCGAAATTACATTAATTTTACAAATCTGCAGCCCTATACCCACTCAGCCCATAATCCGACCTTCGGAGTGAGAAAAGTTTTGAATTTATAGTGGGGTGTCTATAGTAAAGTTGAATGGTAACAGTATTAGCATCAACGAATTACTTATTTACTTATTATTATCCCTGAAAACCTAAAAATAGTCAGAGATTCAGCCATATTTGAAGAAGGCGATGTAATCAATATTTCAAGTTACACCCAATCTTTATTTTTCCTGTTTTTTCTTAAATTTACATAAAATAATATACTTTAAAATAATAAATACGGCTTCACATAAAGTAATTAAATAGATACGTTAAGGATTATTATAGACTTATCGAAAGCCTTTTTTGATATTTTTTTCTTATTATAAATTGATTTTTGTGATCAATGTATTAATACATTGAACACAAAATCTTTTTTTAAAAAAAATCAGAAAAGTTTTTGAAAAATGAAATTAGAGGAAATGATTTAATGCTACTTTAAAGTTATTTAAGCAACCGCAAATAGTGTTTTTACAATAATACAACCATCTCTTTCAATTTAAGAGTGTATCTTGTGGAGTCCTCAGAGCTCGATGATACTAATCTCTTTTTATCTCCTAACAACATTGCAACATTATTTCTAAATATAAATATTTAGTTACCTGATCTTATCTTATATAAACAATTAATTGAAATAAGATTCTTAGAAATAAATCTTGTTGAAATTTTATCTTGGCTTCTTCAAATAAAGTACAGTCTAAAATCACCAGAGTTGTTGGTATGATGTATTCTTTATACGTCAATAAACAAAGTATGAAGTTCTTTTATACGTCAATAAGCGTCTTAAACTAATATATTTTGAGCTAATTTATAGCTCAAAATTTATTAACTTTAACAACCGTTTGAAATAAATATAAATGAAAACTGTTATCTTACAACAAATATAACTAACGCATTTAAACTGTCAGGGAAATTTATGGAAAAATATACGGAATATATGATTGCATATCGAGGCTCAAAAATATAGCATTGCGTATTGAGGTTCAAAATTATAGATTTTCATTTTTATGTTTTTTTTGTTTTCGTTTTTTTTTGTTTTTGTTTTGTTATTTAAGTGCTCGCAGAAGTCCTTACGGTATTATCACAAAGCACCGAAGAAGAGCATTTAACTGGTTAACACCTTCTTCCTTACCGATGTCTCTTATTGGGCTAGAGCTGGCGTCAAACCTCGGACCTCTGGGTTCGGAGCCAGAACTCTAAACACTGCGCCATGGCATATCGAGGCTCAAAAATATAGCATTGCATATCGAGAAAAACATAAAATATCAAAAAGGACTTAAATGAAGACCACATTTCAATAAGACTCATTAAGAGAGTAATAAAATAAAATTTTATTACTCTTTTATCAATCGCAATATAAATTATGCAAATATTGCCTAGAATTACTTTTCATTCGAAAAAATTTAAAAAAAATCATTTTATCTTTTGAAGACTTATTTTAAAAAGTATTTTTGTAGTTATATGTTTGCTTAAACATTCTTATGTTCTTGCTATTTATTTCTATGGTATTTTTTATCAGCCGCACTCGATACGAGTCTTCTTTTATATATATATATATATATATATATATATATATATATATATATATATATATATATATATATATATATATAAATATATATATATATATATATATATATATATATATATATATATATATATATATATATATATATATATATATATATATATATATATATATAAATAAAAGGTATATGTATATATGTATAAAAGATATACATGTATCAGTGACGGATCAAGGAATTTTTTTTGGGTAGAGGGGAATGTTGATATCTTTTTGTATTTTTTACCATATTTGCGTCTCAAAAAAAAAATTGGGGGGGGGGGGAGAGATGCATACGGAGTATGCATACATTGGTGAAAACACTTCCCGGGGTTTTGTTTGTGATTTTTGTTTGAATTAATTTTTTAAAATTTTGATAGTTAAGAAATTAAATAATAATTTTAAAAGAGTGTTGTTGTATTAAGTTGCGATGAAAAGTTTTAAGATCTGCCCATGGAAGACTGGATTATGTATTACAATTGTAAGGCCTGGCGGAAGTAACCATATCCTTAGGTTTTGTCTGTGATTTGTGAACTTAATTGTTACAATTAGCATTTTATTCGTTATTACACAACGGTGTTTGTGATTCCTCTAAGTGTGTTAGGAATTACCCCATGTACGTAGGGTAATTCCAAACACCGAACGGTTTTATTTTTACCCTAAATTTTTATTTAATAATTAGATATATAAATATTGCTTTAGGGGCTTTATGACTGAATAGTAAGACTAAATGATAACAATAAATATGATCAATTTTGTATAACTGATGTCTTTAATTCGCATTCCCGCTTAGATGTTTACCAACATCCCACTCTCCCACATTTAGAAAAAAATCGGAAACAAGATCTCTAAATACTATTTGAATACTTCAAGCACTCTAACCATCACTATTAACATCTGAAAAATTTAATTTTAATGTATAAATATTTTAATAGCCGTTCTTGATAATTAGATCTGAAGGTCTTCTGCGAGTCTTTGCGTTTTTTGTTTTGTTTCGCTTTTTAGAAAAATTCTTGATTATTTGTTTTACTTTTTGATTATTTGTAAAAATCTTCTTTAATTTAGTTATCTTATTGAATAAATTTATTCAATAAATATTTTTTAAAAAAGAACAAAGAAAGAAAACATACAAATAACGTATTAAAATTAATATATTTTTATCATTTTTAAAAGTATTATTTTATTTCATTTAACAATAAACCAGTGAGTGCAATCTTTAATGTTAGCGCAAATGTGAGTGCAATCCTTTAATGTTTGTGCAGCTGTTATTAAATCCTTTACATGTTGTATTATCATCAAAATATTGAATATTGACAACAAAAGCAACTTAAGTATAAAAAAGAATAGTTGAAAATAGTTCAAAACATTATTTCTGTTTAGTACAGTCTTAAAACTTTGTTATACATGTGCAGTTGTTGGAGTCGGAAACATATATTATAAATATACAAATACAAAGATACAAATACACAAACATATTATTACAGTTTAAGACCAATGGTCCAAAAAATTCGTTAAAATCAACTTAATTGTTGTAAAAAATTCCGGCTTCAATTATGTTTTTTCGGGCCTAAAAACAAAATTAAACTCTCAAAAATGTCAGATAATTAAAAATATACTTAAAAAATTTTTTTTAATATCCAAAATGGATATTAAAAAATATATCTAATATGAAACAAATTAAAAAGATTAAACTAAATTTAGAAAGTATTTGAGTAATATGAACACAATCTTTTGTTAATGTTATTTAATCTTATTATCATTTAATATTATCATTAACTGCTGGTCAAAGATTTTTGTCAAACTCATGAGACTGAGTATAATTTAGCATTTGCTAAATTAAAACTTCTTCCAATGTACCCAAGATTCCTATGATCCAAGTTTTCTAACAGTTTACAATCAATTTGCTAAATAGCGCGGAGACCTCATTCTAAATTTAAACCTTCAAGGAGTTGATTTAAACGTGTAGAAAAGTGTAATCAACATCGAGATCAACTTTGTAGTTGCTTTTACAAGAAGAAAAGTTTAACTTTTTACAAGAAGAAAAGTTTAACTTTTTACAAGAAGAAAAGTTTAACTTTTACATGCTGCTCTAGAGCAGGGATGGCCAAATGGCGGCTCGCGAGCCGCATGCGGCTCTTGGAATGTTAAGGCGGCTCGCGAGCCGCATACGGCTTTTTTCCAAATTGTTATATGCTAATATATTTCCATATAATTATTTCCATCATTCTTATTGTCTTAAAACTTGCAAAAATGGATAAAGTAAAAGTTAACACTAGTTTGCTTCGCAAAATAAGGCGGAAAAGAAAAATTAAATACGAAAACAGAATATTTCATAATGATTGGACAGAAAAATATGCATTTATTGAAAGAAACAATAAACCTATGTGTTTAATTTGCAATATAGAACTTGCTCATAACAAGACATGCAATGTTAAACGTCATTATGAAACAAAACATAAACAATTTTCTGAAGAATATCCGTTATGTTCAAATTACAGAAAGAATAAAATTGAATTGCTCAAAACGAAAAATAAAAATCAACAACTAAATATTTCATCTTACAGCCAAGAATCAATTAATACAACAGAAGCAAGTTTTGTTATAGCATGGAATATTGCCAGAGGTAAACATCCTTATACCGATGGAGAATTTGTAAAGCAAAACATTTCAGATGTCCTGTCGGTTTTAGATCCTAGTAATAGCAAAATCCAAGGATTAGTATCACAAATTCCTATTTCTCGACATACAACCGAAAGAAGAATATCTGAGATTAGTATTGATGTTGAACAGCAATTACTAAACGATTTAAAAAACTGTGAAGCATTTAGTTTAGCTGTAGATGAATCAACAGATATTCAAGACAAGCCTCAAATGGCTGTATTCGTTAGATATGTGACTTCAGACGTAATTGTAAAAGAAGAGTTACTAGATTTAGTTGAGTTGAATGACACAACTCGTGGAGTTGATATCAAGGAAGCCCTTGACAAAGCTCTGCTTAAAGCTAATGTACCTATCAACAAGCTTGTTAGTGTTGCTACAGATGGTGCATCAGCAATGGCTGGAAAACATTTAGGACTTATAGGCTTATTAAAAAGTGACCCTAAGTATCCAGAATTTATCCCAATTCATTGTGTTGTTCATCGAGAACATTTAGCTGCAAAACATTTTAACTTTCCAATTGTTTTTAAATCTGTTTTAAAGATTGTAAATTATATTCGAGCAAATGCAAAAAATCACAGACAGTTTAGAAACTTTATAAATGAATTGGATCTTGCTGACGAGCCAAGTGACGTGTCATTTTTCTGTTCTGTAAGATGGCTTTCAAGTAGTGACGTTTTTTATAGATTTGTAGAACTATTAGAGCCAATTAAATGTTTTTTGATTGAAAAAGAAAAGACATTTGAAATCCTAGACAATATAAATTTTGTGCAAGATCTTTTATTTTTGACTGATATAATGCAACATTTAAAAAGTCTGAATTTGTTTCTTCAGGGAAAAGAAAAAAATATATCTGATCTTGCACAAACGATATTTAGTTTTCAAAAAAAAATTATTCTTTTTCAGAAAGATCTTAGCTTGAAAAAATTTAATCATTTTCCTCAAATGAAGAAGATGATTACTTCTAATCCTTCAATTCAGTATGATGACGATAAGATTGAATCATACTTGGACAAACTAAAGGATTTACAAAAAGACTTTCAAAAAAGGTTTAAAGATTTGCATGAACTAAAATCTTCTTTAGGATTTATAGTAAATCCTTTTTTAATTAATATTATTAGTAATGGCTGTCCAATTCCTGAAAAAATGCTTGAAGATATATCTCAATTTGAAATGGAACTACTAGATCTCCAAGAAGATCAAAATCTACTTATGCTGCATAAAACAATAACTTTTATGGAATTTTGGAAGATAGTTCCCGAGGTTAAGTATCCTCAACTTAAAAAGATTGCCATAAAATTCATTTCAATTTTTGGTTCAACGTATACATGTGAATCTTTATTCTCTACTATGAAATTTGTCAAATCAAAGTATCGTGCAAATCTAACCAACGAGCATTTGTCTGAATTACTTAGAACAGCCACTACAAGTTTGAAACCAGATTTTAAGAAACTTACCAGTAAAGTTATGAGTATTAGTTTGATCAAAGTAAAAAATTGATAAAATGATGAAAAAGTTATTTCTTGATTGTAAAAATCAAGTAAAATAATCTAATTTTAGTGTTGGTTTTTTAATTATTATTTCATTGATATAAGCATTGTTATAATTTTGTTAATCAAAAAAAAGTTTATGATCAGCATGCGCTTGTGCAAAAATCTATCATAAAAAAGATCAGTGTGTTGCACAGCACATGGCCAGTGTGTTGCACAGCACCTAATCGTGTGCTGTGCAAAATCAGTGTGATCATGTGATTGTCGAAAACTATAGAAATGATTTTTTAGTCTGAAGGGAATTTTATAAAATAAATCAGATATAATGGCATTGTAAACAAAATCTTTAAAGGAATAGTTTTTTCTTTAAAAAATTTATTGAGTGTTTTAAAACAATTAACTAAATTCAATTGTATACATATTTTACTTAAATCTTTAAAAAATGATATTTTGTATCCAAGAAATATCTAAATTTCATATTAAAATGATATTGTTGAATAGTGATACAACAATTATTTCTACCCCTTAGGAGCATATGGAATTTCCTAAATAATTTGTATTTTCTAAAAATATTTCTTTAAAAAATGATTTTAAATAGTGAATTACAAATTGTTGTTTTTATATGAAACCAAGAAAATATGCTAGTACTAGAAATTTCTTATTTTTTGGGTAGTTTTTTTACTTATCTAGTACGAAAGTCTCTTAAAATTCAGATAATCAAAAGAAAGAGAATAAAAGTTTCTTATATAAAAAAACAAACATGAAGTTGTTGCGGCTCTTCGGCTCACGTAAGTATATAAATGCGGCTCTTGTGACAAAACGTTTGGCCAGCGCTGCTCTAGAGCAGGATAAAAAATTGTTCATTTTTGTTGGATTATGTATCATATATACATTACATTAATATTGCAAATATTTCTAAATGTTTTGTTGTTTTAATTTTATTGTTTTATTTGAAATGCATCTAAAATGCTTAATTTTCATTTAATCAAATTTCATAAGTGTCTTTAAGAATAGAAAAGAGTTTTTTTTTAATCTGAATTAAGTGCTGAATGTCATAAATTGAGTAAAAGAGTAAAACTGAGGGGGTCACTCATGAGTGACCAAAACAAATCCTTTTTTTTAATACTTAATTAGCTTCGAAAATTTGTTATGAAAATGATTTTATTATTAAAAAATATATTATATTAGAATATTTTAATTGATTAATTTTTCCAATCATAACCAAAATTTAAAATTCATAAAAAATTTTAGTTTCAAAAAACGTTTTACAAAGAGTTTCTTCAAATAATTTTTTTTAATTCCGTTTTTCTCGAAATACGTAATAATCATTACGTTTTTCTCGAAATACGTAATAATCATTACGTTTTTCTCGAAATACGTAATAATCACCTTAAGCTCGTTATCAGAGTAACAACTAAAATATAAAGTTATACCTGGAGGATGATCATTGTTAGGTTTTGGGGATGAGGAATGTTCTAAAAGATAAAAAAATTATTTTTATTTTATTTTTTAATATTTTATGTTATAATAATCTTTTAATATTTCAACGCAGGAAAAAATATATAAATACTTAACAAATATATTTTGTAGCATATAAACTTTGCAAATTTTATACAAAAATTTGCAAATTTTTTTTTTCATGCAAAACATTCTCATTTAAATTAAATGTAGAGAGTGAGAAAATGGTGTAGACGGGGTAACTCCAAACAAGGCCGTTATGACATGATAGAAAAAGAAAGTTGATAATTTCTTTTTTGCTGTCAATGAGGGCGCCCCTACCCCGCTCAGTTCTAGACGTGCAGTAGTGAAGTGAAGCCGCGCATGTTGTTCACGGCAAATTGATAAAAATTTTATTTATATTTTTATATAATATTTTGCCATAGTTTTATGTAACATTTAGAACACTTATGTAGTAGCTACTGTGAAAGTAATACCATTCCATCGTTTTTTGTTGTTGCAAAATATCATAATAATGGAGCTTTTAACACGTTTTACATTTTTTATATGTTAATTCGACGTAATAATATTAATTAGGTTTCATTTACTTGGGTCCGCGAATCAATAATAAACGAATAACCATCAAGTAAGATAAGTGACATTAAAGTGATATGTGATATCAGATAACATAAGGATGTCTTCCCTGATGTCTTGCAAAAATTCTTTCCAAATATGAAGTTTAAAATGCACTTACTTCTTTCAATTATTGGTAAGCTTTTATCAGCCCTATATTTAGAATCTCTGCACACATTGCTTTTGATAAAAGATTTGATTTCTTGAATTAAAAATGTTATATTTATTAGTTTGTTTATATTTATTAGATAGTGGATAATTTTCCAAGTGTTTTAATTGCAATACGCATGTATCTTTATTTATTGGTCAGCAATTACAGCTGAGTATGTTAATTTACACAATTTAGGCTTGTTAAAAAGGATTTTAGATCAACTAGGGGTCAAGCATTTAAAAGTCCTGTCGCATTTATGTAAAGAAAATAGACGTTTGATTTGGATTTTTTTAATTAAAAAGGCACAAAAGGTAATGTCTACTAGTTTAAGATTTTAGTGAATAAACGAACGGTCGAACTCTCAAAAGCTCCAATATAATTTTATAATTATTGACAAATAGTTTTATAATTTTGTTTAGCTTTTACAATAAAATCCTTTATTACATTTTAATTAAAATATTTCTAAATTCCTCATTCCACAATCAATTAAGAATATTTTAAAAAACTATATATTTTTTTTATAGTTAAATAATTTTTATGATAAACTATTGATACTATGTAATTAATTACTTATGCCACTATGTATACTATATATATATATATATATATATATATATATATATATATATATATATATATATATATATATATATATATATATATATATATATATATATATATATATATATATATATATATATATACATATATATATATATATATAAATATATATATATATATATATATATATATATATATATATAAATATGTATATATATATATATATATATATATATATATATATATATATATATATATATATATATATATATATATATATATATATATAATTACTATGTAATTAATTACGATGCGCGTTGTTCCTTTGACCAAAACGTTATTATTAAAAAATCATGCAATGTTTGAACCTCTTTAATATTTTAGCTTGTTATATGTTATATAGCAACTTCTGGCCTAACTTATATCAATAAAAAAAAACAAATTTTATTATTTTGTAATCAATCCTAATTGTCTAAAAAAATTTGAAAAATTAATCTTTACAATCTTGCAAAGACTTGTGTATCGAAGTTACGAAACTCAGTTATTATAACTATTTAAATAAATTCACATATTTTCTTTAGTTAGATGCTTTATTTAGATAGGTCAAAGGTACAACGTCCTAATCTGGCCAAAGGTACACGAGATGGGTTCTTTAACAATTATCGTCTCAATCCCCATTTACGGTCAGACATAACCATCCAAACTTTTCCATAAGAAAAAACTTATGTTGGGTAGTATTTATAATGTCGTAGATGAATCAAACAACAATTTATTACAGTTTTAAAATCAGAATAAGATTAACACAAATATTTACTTTTTAAAAGCCAAAACTTATAATTACTTGTGGATCAATACCATCTATCCCAAGTATGATGTTTTACGGTAAGAAGAGCCATCATGGACTATTATTTCAAATGGCACGTTTTTTAAAATAATAATAGAAAGCCGACAGAGTAGAGTGACCAAAGGTATAACGTGGTCAAAGGTACAAAAGGTTCCCCTACAATTAAATTCCTATATCTATGAAACAATAGTGCGTAGTCTTTAATTTCTAGTGTTAAATATTGCGAGTATTTCCAAAAAACAAAAGCAAGACTTCTTAAATACGTCTAAATACGTTGTACTACATCTTTTAGACGTCTTAAATATATCTTATGCCCACTGGGTATAACATCGGCAATTGTTTTTAATTTTCTAATTACTTGCAACTATTTTTTTACATTTATCACTTTTTCACGTTAACAAAAACTCATCGTGAGTTTAAATAACAAAAAAAAAAAAAAAAAAAATTAAAATCTGTAATTTCATTCAACTTTTTAACTTAATAGGATTGGTTTAATTATTTACCAATAGTTTTTTATTTATTTATCACTTTTAACCTTATTCATAAATCACCTTATGTTAAAAACACAAAAACTCAAATTACCTTGAGAATGAATTGAGGGTTCGGAGTTTGGATATTCACTATTTTCATTGCCTAAACGGTAAAAACATTATTTTTATTTGAACAGTTTTTTATTTCTTTAAATTAATAATTTTTAATTAAGAATTAAAATAAAAAAGTTGAGTAACTTTAAAGACTAGCGCGTAGTCTTCAATTTTATTCAACTATACCTCAGCCGTTTCTCAAAATGCTTTAATGGATCGTCCATAAATTGCGCAGCGCGATACTTATTTAATTACAAATTTGAGAACTAATTTAATTACTAAAACTTACTAATTACTGAAACTTATTAATGACTAAAACTTACTAATTACTGAAACTTATTAATGACTAAAACTTACTAATTACTGAAATTTATTTAATTACTAATTTTAAGAACTAATTTGATTTTTGGTTTGATTTAAGGATCTGCGAGGGAAAACTCTTGATCTTATTTGCTTATTAGATAAATTTAGCGTTGCGTAATTTATAGACCATCTCTAAAGGTAAAAAATCAATAATTTAACCTAGAAACGTCATTAAAAAGATATTTTTGAAAATTTATTATAAAAAAAATTATAAAAATTTTTAGTTTTAAAAAACGTTTTACATAGATTTACTCCGACTAACTTTTTTTAATTGCGTTTTTTTCAACACACGTAACACGTGCTTCTCAAGGCTAAAAACGGCTGTAGTATAACATTGGCATTGTTGATTTATCAAATATCTTTTTTTAATTTTAATTTTAAAATTTTTAATTTTAAAAATTTAAAATAAGTTTTTTTTTATATTTATCACTTTTTTATCTTATTTATAAACCACCCAGTATGAAAAAAACATAAAAGTCCAAATTACCATGAGAATGAGCGCCACCATAACGTATCGCGGATGTGGGGTGTGGTTTTTCATCTTTTTTGTCACCTAAACCGTAAAACAATATTTTTTTTATTTAAACAACTGGTTGTTTTTTGAAAACAAAAACTAATATTGTTAACTCTATAAATTCATTAAAATAATTATTCTTGAAATAGTAGTAAAAAAGATTCCGCATCACTTAAAATGATTAGTTTTAAAAATAATCATCATTTTTATTGTATCTTCATATAACTAATAAAAATAAACTTTGTAAACATTTTATATTTTAAGTAAACCTGGTTAGACATTTGTTGTAAATTTTAATAAAAATTTTTTTGAACGTTTATATTATTATTGCGCAATATGTTACTAATCTAATTAGAATCTGAAATAAAAAATGTTTATAATATTACAAGAAAATTCTTTGAAGGAGAGAATTCCCCTTTTCTTATCCCTTAATTTTTTATTGCGATAACATTTTAACGAAGTATTAAAATTAGGAAACATGCTAGTTAATATAATACATTTTTTTATTCAATTATATTGCTCTCATAAAGTTCAATAACTAGTTGATTACTATATCATTGCGCGTTATCATAAAAACTAAATATATAAAACTTCATATTACCTGGAGGAGGATGACTATTGTCAGGTATTGGGGGTGGGGGATGTTTTTCATTCTTTTTATTTCCTAAAAGATAAAAATATTTGTTTTTAAGAATAATTTTTATTTTTTTAGTTTAGAAAAAAAAAAAAATTTAAACCTAGCGAATTTTTTTCAATAAATTTTTTCAACACCTTTTAATTTCTACAAACTGTAAAAGTTAGTTCTTTCGAAAGCCTATCGTACAGGTTGAAATAATAAGTGAGCTTTTGCATAAAATCTCTTTTATTAACACGTAAAAAAATAGATAAATAAAAAAGATTCAAAATAATCTTTTTTAATATAAATTTTTAAGAAATATTGAGTAATTACCTTTAGGATCAGCAAAGGTGACTGCCACTAGCATAGCAGCAAAAATAATCAACAAAACTCCTCTGCATAAAACAAGTTATAAAATATTATCATATTTATAAACTTATAAAGAAATTGTATTCAAAAATTTAGTAAAATAAATAATTATACCTCATTTTTTTTTTTTTTTACAGCGTAAACTGTTGTCAAAAAGAAAATATCGAGATTTTTTTTTAAGGAAAAACTTTTATAGCAAATTTAGACCTACGTATATATGTATTCAAATAATAATGAAATCAATGAAAATGTTTCGTAATTTATTTAACAGTTTTCTTTAATACAATTGTGTTAAAAATCAGGTTACTCTGGTTGCGATTGCAAATAATAGTTATTTTTTAACTCATAAATAATTTAATCTATTATAAACTTTGATAAATTTAATAAATGATTTTTTTATCCATTTATTGATGAATCAAAATATTGTGCATTGATGAAATAACGTAAATTAATGAAAATATTTTAAAAAATTTAAAAATTATATTTTAAAACCATGAAAAATTTTTTAATTACAAGTATAAGGGGTTATTTAATTATTACCATTAATTACGTCAACAAAATAGGGGGAGAGGGTCAAAACTTTTTTGACAATTGTTGACACGGGGGAGGGGGAGGTCAATTAAAGTTTTTTTATTTGAGTTTGATTGTTTAAATAACGGAAAATTAGGCTGTGTTGTAGCGTAGTTTCTTTGTATAGGGAGGGGGGGGGGGGAGGTAATTAAAAGTAAATTTATTAATTATTCACTCTCACATTTGGGTTGGGGGAGGGGGCAACAATTTTTGGGCTTTTTTGTTCCCATGTTCCATTCATTGCTATTTTTGCAGAACATCCTTATTTGACATAAGTATAAACATATAAATGTTTAAAGTTTGCTTCGCGTCTGGAAAATAGCTTAAAAAATGCTGGATTCAACCCTGGTTAAATGGGTAAAATCGTTCCTAGTTTATGCAAAAAATAAAATCATTATGTATTTAGCTTTTAATGTTAATTAACTTCTGATACATCTGATACATACAATGTATCAGATATACCTTGTATCATGTAATTAAAATTTGATACAAGGTAGCAGATTACTATAAACCTTTATGTTTAAGTTAAGATTATCTAAGTAAGTTATCCAAGCAAATACTTTGAAGTTTTAAAATAGATATCACAAACCATAAATCTTAAATTTTAAAATAGATATCACAAATGACTTGCAAAATTAGTACTGCAAGCATTGTGACAAAGCTGCTCAGTTGTATGCCTTTTTATTAAAATATTTGTGCTGACAAATATAAAAAAAATGTTTTTTATTAAATATTTGTGCTGACAAATATCAAAAACACATATTTTTTAGTTTCATTTCATTTCTGAAAATCTTTTTACATTTTGATTATATCTCGATTTCTGAAATTATTTTTATTTATAATAGTTGATATATTTTTCTAGACTTTGATGATTTATACCTTGAAATAATTTTTTTTATATCATTTAAGTTATTTTCATATAACCTTCATGAAAAAGATAGCATATTCAAAATATAAAACTAATTTGTTTCTATTAATTTTGATAAATATTACCAGTTATAAAAATAATAATAAGATGGCACTTTGTCTAATGTTATGCTTTTTATTTGTTTTGAATAAATTAAGGTGTAAATAGTAGTTCTATTGGTTTAAGATAAAGTTATTGTATTGGTTTAAGATTAAGCTAAGTTTAAGGTTGGCTGTTAATCCACAACATATCTAAAGCTATGCTGTTCAATAAGCTATACAAATTACAGTAGATTTATGAATAAAAATTTACTAATTGAATGAAAATAGAACTGGTAGATTGGTAGATGAACTGGTATAGATTGGTAGGACAGTAGTAATTTTTTATCTTTGCTTTTTAGGTATTGGCAAGCTCTATTGATGACTGATGACAGGAAGGTATCCTGCAACAAGATTAAACGAACCTCCAACTACAAGCCAATTAAAAATATTTTTCATAGCAGCATGTTCTACGAAGTGTTTGCTTTTTATTTTATCTACTAAATAGATTATTTATATTTTATAGTTTCTTAAAAATATTTATGAAGATTGTTTAATGTTGGTTTTTTAAAAAATTTTAAGTTTAAAAAATTATTTTATTCAGGAGTATAATTATAATTGGTATGTCTATTTTTTTAAATATTTTTTTTTATTTTTATTATAATTGGCATGTCCATATTTTTTATATTATTATATTTTTAAATATCAATTTGATATTATGTTATTAATGTGAGAATCTCAAAATATATTAAAAAATAGTAGGATGTATATAGGAGCGCAAAATCCTTGTACTGATAAAAACCACTAGCAGAAAACTTTCAACATCGATCGGAAATTGTTCAGTTTTTTCACTTTGATGTTTTACAAAAACATCTCTACAGAAACGATGTTTTTTTCACTGAATCAAAATTTAAAACCTTTACTAGCTTATAAAACAATAAGTGTTTTTTTTCTCCCTATAATATTGTCCTTTTTTCAGATTTTGACCCAAAAAACAACCACTTGCAAAAGTTGATAGGGGAGAGTGGGGTAATAGTGAACGCTGGGTAACTCCAAACATGGTTAAAACAGCATTATAGAAAACAAAATTTTTTAATTTCTTTTTACCTGCTGAGAGGGGAACCCATGCTCAGTTCCAGACGTGCAATAGTGTAATGAAGCTGCGATTGTTGTTCACTATAATTTTATTTTAATTTTTACTCAGAATTTTATGCAACTTTTTTCTTGAGTAACATTCTGTTGTTGCTTCTATGGATAAAAAACCACTTCTTTTTTTTGTTGTTGTTGCATATATGTTGTATAACTTTTGCACTTAGTTATTACAATAAGCATTTTATTCGTTATTACACAACAGTGTTTGTGATTGCCCCCAGTGTGTTCGGAATTACCCTATGTATGTAAGGTAATTCCAAACACCAATGGTTTTATTCTTGTTTTAAATTTTTATTTTATAATAAGATTTGTAAAAACTGCTTTTGAGGGTTTGTGACTGAATAGTTAAACTAACTGGTAAGCAATAAATATGATCAATTTTGTATAACTGGTGTCTTTATTTTGCATTTTCGCTATAAACAAAACAACTTTTGTAAAAAGACATTATCTAGCTTTTTAATGTAACCTTTATTTTATTTTCATATAAACTTTATTTTATTTTTAAAGTGTTGTTTTCTATTTTAAAACATTTTATACAATCGTTTTGAAATGTTTTCTATAACTATTTACAAAAATGTTATGTAATTTTTTAAGGTGGTGTTCCAAGAATTATGAAAAAGTTTGATTGAAACTAGAGTAAAATTTCATTTTTAAAACATAACTTAAAAATCTTGGCTTTGATTACCCATTAAATAGTAAATATATTTGTGAAGTATTTACTCAAAATATATCAGTCAATTTATCACGAAATTACTTTGAAGAACAAAATGTGAAAATTTTAGCTCTTTTGCGTAGTTATTCCAAAACTAATAATTTCACAAACTTTTTATAACAATTTTATATTTATATATCAATTGCTATGGTGTAGTTATGGCAAATACTATTGATTTGGTAGACATAAAGCCAAGTTACTAACACTTAATATTAAAATGTTAATTAAAGGGTTTTTGTAATCTGTTAACAGAGCCAAACTCAATTCATTTTTTGATGTCAAAATTGACTTTTGTTTCTTGGACTGCCACCGTTTTTAAGATAAACATTATTAGTTCATGTCAACTTTGATAATCTGACTTTAACTGTTATCTTGCCATTATCATAAATTGAAACAGGTTAAAGGAGATGGAGATGTTGGCTAGCGGTTTTGTGCTAGAACAGCAATTTTTAACCGATGCCATGATTCCTTAATAATATTTGCCATGGCGTGGCGTTTCTTGTTATTTAAATATCTTATTTTGTTTACAGACACCATATTTTGTTGAAACATATTTTTTTTTAATTAATTTAAAGATACGATTTATAATAGTTAATAATATAATTATAATAATTAATAAAAAGATTCAATTTATAATAATATACGAAGTTTGTTTTACGCTTTGTTTAATATTAGCAAAGGAATAAAATGTTTGGATTGTAAACATTTTATAAAGCCAAAATTAAATTTAAAGTTTCAATTGTGTGTGACTCCTAATTGTACAAAGTACATTACACACTTAAAGTTTTGTAAACTTACAATGTTTTGTGTGTACGTGGGTGTGTGTGTGCACGCGCGTGTGTAATTATTATAATGCAACCAGATGTCTTTAGTTTGACATAATTTAGGCGCACATTGTGCATTGTACATTATACATTAGGGTGGAGTGAAAACAACATTTTTCAGAAATATAACTTTTCTCCCTGATTTTTATATTAGATATAAGAAAACTGAAAAAACGAGACCGAAATGAACGAAATTGGACAAGAATTACCCACTGCAGCAATTTTTAACTAATACTACTTATTATTGGTAGCGCAAATTTTACATAAAATTTTTTTTTCAAGTATAAGTTACAAAGTGATTACATACAAGGCCGGCGCGATAGGGGGGTATGGGGTGTGTGACACCCCCCATCAATGATTTTTAGTTGGCAAATTTAACTCTTAGTCGGCAAATGTGACTATTTTTGACTAGTTAGTCGGCAAATATAGACCCTGTCGATAGGTTAGTCGGTAAAGTCAGTCGGCAAATGTCGTTATGGCAGTCGGCAAATTTTAAAAAACGAGGATCTTTTTTTTTTTTTTTTTTAGACGGCAAAGGTTGTAATGGCACCCCCCCCCCACGTGACCCCTACTCGCGCCGGCCTTGATTACATATTAGGTATGTTTGAATTTCCATTAGTATCAGACCAAAATAATCACTTTTGTATGAAAATAGGTTTTGAAATTTTTTTAAACATATTAAAAAGAAAGATATTTCAATTGATAAAATCTGTGCTATTTTTCTGGAAGATAAAAGGATTGTACGTAAAATGGGTATCGGATCAATTGACAAAGAAGTTACAACAAAACAGCAAAATACCCAAAGCAAACAGTGCTCAAACCTTAATGATACAGTGCCGCTAGATTCTATTATTTCTGCCACACGCAGTACACTAAAATGGCCTGCTATAGATGAAAACACTCCATTATCACCTTCAAAGCAAATGCAATTATCTCTCCCTTCTCTTTCATTAGTCTGCGACCACCATAGACTCTTAGAGAGATCTGCTGCAGCTTTAGTATCAGCTGTACTTGAAGATCAGGTGAGCAGCCACAAATTTTAGAATTAGGTCTTAGGCGTATCAGAAAGCTAATGAAGAAAGAAGTATGAATGCTAAACAAATTAGTGTGGGGCTTATCAAACTAGTGTGCGGCCGTGGTGCAGTGGATAGAAAAGCAGGAGATCCAGGATCAAATAAGCAGGAGATCCAGGATCAAAACGGACATATTTCGCGTCACGGTAAGGAAGGAGGCGTGAACTTCCTGGTTAAATACACTTCCGCGATGCTCTGTGACAAGACCGTTAGGACTTCTTGGGACACCTAAATAACAAATAAATAAAAAAAATTCAAAGTTCAGAATGTTAATTTTATGGCAAAGAATACATGGAGGTTGATTGATTGGAGTAATACTCAGCAAACAGAGCCACCACTAACAATGCAGCTAACTGATGAGGAAATGAAAGAAGCAAAAGAGAATTGCATTCAACTAACTAATCTTTTGCAAAAGTTACCGTGCCACACGCAAGCTGTATAATGTTATGTGAAGATAGTAACAGTTGTTTCTGCCTCGGTTTGCGGCGAAATGAAAAGAGATGGTGTGGTAAAAAAATATTATTGTGAAATTATTATAATTGTGAAAACTTGCCTACATTGGCCAAAAATTGCTGCAAGGGGTAATTCTTGTCCAATTTTACTCATCTTAGTCTTAATTTTTTAGAACTTTGGGAGAAAAATGGAATTTATTAAAAAGTTATTTTCACTATACACTAATACCTTATATGTTTTTACTTTGTAACTACTAGTTAAAAAAAAAAATTTTTATGTAAAATTTGTGCTACCAATAATAAGTAGTATTAGTCAAAAATAGCTGCAGGGGGTAAATCTTGTCCAATTTTGCCCATTTTGGTCTCTTTTTTTTAGTTTTCTTATAGGTAATATAAAAATCAGGGAGAAAAGTTGTATTTTAGAGAAATGTTATTTTCATTACACCTTATTATACATTTAAGAGTCACACACAATTGAAGCTATTAACTTTAAAGTTGAGGTATTAAATTTATAAATAGTTACACTGTAATGACTGAAGTCAGAGTAATAGTATCGCTTAAGTAAATAAAAACCCAACTGAATAGCGTAAACAAATCATATTTAGAAATTCTAATGATGATCCCTGGCAAATTGTCAGGCGATCCCCATTGGGGTCGCGACCTACAGGTAGGAAACCGCTGTGTTAAAGTAAGGGTATGTTTAGAAAGTCAGTTTAGGTTTTTGATATGTGAATTTTATAAATTGTTTACAATTTTATACTCTTCATATAAACATGCATAAATTTACTTATATAAATTAAGTCATTATTTCTATTTTTTTGATTTATTTGAATCGAAAATTTGTAAAAATTATTGACTCCGCTGACGGACTTGATCGGATATTTGTCCTCGAATTGTTTTTTTAATGCCCGGTAGAGGTTAAGATTTAATGAAAAAAATCCACTAATTTATTTAAAACACCATATCCATTCAAATTACTTTTAATATTAATTGCTTTCAGTAATAAAACTAATTTGATTCATTTATTATAAGATAATGATATGAAAATCGGTTTACTAACTTAAAATAGTTCAGTTTTTATTGATAAAATCATATGCTAGAATTCATATAAAAAAGGACAAGCATTTATTCATTTATGAAGTTCAAAACAAACAAACTGTATTTATTTATGGTAATCTGATTCATGAATAATTGTCTTTATTAATTATCAAATACTTTCTAATATTGAAAAATCATCAGACAAAATATTGTTTTGAACAAAATTTTAGTTCAACTTAAAATTTTTTAAATCATGAATTATGTTTCATCATTGCATGATGATAATTGTTATATTTTTTATTACAACTAATTCTTTTTAATTATATAAATTCATATTTTAAATTGAATTAAAAAATTTATAAAAACATTTCAAATGTTGTTTTTGCTTTTCAAAATAAAAATAGAATAATTGTTTTATATTTTATGTTTGTAATTACATTCATTTTACTAAGTGGATTAGTTTTCTATTTAAGCTGGTCTGTGTCATTTCATATTGGGCTTGATTCTTAAGTTAATTTTATGAAGTTGTTTTCATTGTATATTTCCTTGAATTTTTTGATTTCAATTCTGTGATTTGCCAATCTTGGTTATTTTTATCTTGAATTAGTTTGTTTTAAGTGTCTTCATATTGTCCTAGTTGTTGTTGTTGTTGTTTTTATTATTTTATGTTCAGTTTTTGTTTGGATTAGAGATATCTGAATTGAAATTTTTGTTTTTCAATATTAACTGATAACTTTATGTTTGAATCTTTATTACTTTTAAACTTGTAAATTTTATCACTTTCAATTTTTTTTAACTCTTTTCTATATTGTTTAGATTTTGTATTTGGAATTTCATTTTTAAATAGTTTTAGTTTTTTATAAAAAACTTTAGTGAAATTAAAAAGCCATTAAACTTTATACATTTAAAAGTGTTTTGGATTTGTTTACTTTTCATTTTTAGTTTTCAGTTCAATAAAAATGATGCTACAGCAAAAAATGTTACAAATTTTAAATGGGCTAAAAAGTCCAAATGAAAATCATAGAAACAAAGTTGCTCAAGAGTTGCAGCATTTTTTCACAACTGAGCTAAGAGAAATACCAGCAGATCAGCTTAATGAATTAATGGACATGTTAACTCATCATATATGTGAATTGGTTAACAGTACCAATGTAAATGAAAAGAAGGGTGGAATATTAGCAATAGGTAATTGATTATATGTTATATCCTTTAATTAAATAGTTATAATATATTATATAGAGTTTTTATAATACAACTTTTTCTAAAATATATAATATAATTAGTTTGTACAATTATGTATAAGATAAATATATGTAGAAAAGTTATGCATGAAAAATGTTTTAGGATTATTGTGGTTAATAGTATTTCTCATAACAATTTATTGTCTAGAATTATTTTTCATATATTTTACATAAAATTTTGCACTACATTGTTTAAAATAAAATTAAAAAATTTAAAATACCTAAACTATATTTTTGTGAACATCGTTTCTTAAAATTCATTTTAGGTTGTTATAATACAACATTTAATTAGTAAATTTGTGGTTAAAGGTTCATCACTATAGATATCGAAAACAGAAGTTTGTTATAAAAAAAAAAAAAATTAACCTTTTTTTTTTGATTTGATTTTTATTAGGATAGTTTTTTTAATCAAAATACTCAGCTGCAGAAAAAAAAAAGTTGACTGATTTAATTTGTAGTTAATTAAAAAATCAAAATTGCTGGAAAAATAATTTCTTATTTTGGGGTTGAAGAATTGTACCAAATATCATAAAAAGAAATAGATTATTTTGAATTTTTAAAAATTAGAAGCATGAGAAGATTTTATAACGTTAGTAGATAATAAAATTTCAACCTTGTTTTGAATTTAGTTTTTATTTGATATTTGATATTTTCAGAAAAAAAATTTCAAATTGATTTAAAATAAAATTGATTCAAAAAATTCAAATTGATATTTTCAGTAAAAAAAAAAAAAAGAAGTTGAAGTTGTTATTCTACCCTTATTTTGAAAATTAAAAAAACTTTAGTTAAAAATAATATCAAAATAATTAAACATTATCAAAGTTTCATGCTGCAGCATTTTCCTTTGCTATGCTTTCTTTTTCTATGCTCTTTGCCTTCAAAGTTTTATGCTACAGTTTTTGCTTACACATTTCTTACAAAATACCTAAGTACTCACTACATCTATTTATTGGTACATCAGCATCAACCTGTTTACATAGTTCTTGAATAAATTTTCAAAACTATTGTACTTTCTTCAAATATCTTGGAATCCTGTTTGTAACTATTATTAGTACACAGAAATCTAGTTCATCAAAAATGTTATAGAAACAGTTTTATTTTTTTTAGTTGAATCTTTAAAAATGTTTGTGAATTATTTAAATAATATTGTGTTTTTTAATATGCTTCCCACTACTCAATAATTTAAATTCCTAATTGCTATTAGGTGAGATTTTGTTAATTAATAACTATATCTTATATCTTCTTTTTTGTTAAGAAGATATGTAGATAAATCTCTCAACCTGCAGTAATTAAGAATATAAATTATATAGTAATTAGAATATCGTATATTATTAAAAAACTCAATAATATAATCATAGCACAATAATATATCTAATGATTGAACTAATAATTACTCATTTACACAAGCAAATACTATATTTCAACCCTTGGAATTAGTTTCGGCTTGCAAATATTGCCGACCTCATATCTATGTTTTATGTTCAGATCTTTGTATCCAATAATTTTTGCCGACCTGATGCCGCCTTCAAAAAGATTGAGGTCGGTAAATTATTGCCGACCTCACTTTTTCTAATTCCAAGGGTAGATATTTTTGAGGGATGATCTATGTATGTACACACACACTATCTATCTATATATCTGTCTATTTATCTATCTATCTATATCTATTTATATATATATATATATATATATATATATATATATATATACATATATATATATATATATATATATATATATATATATATATATATATATATATATATATATGTATATATATATATATATATATATATATATATATATATATGTATATATATATATATATATATATATATATATATATATATATATATATATATATATATATATATATATATATATATATATGTGTGTATATATATATGTGTGTGTATATATATATATATATATATATATATATATATATATATGTATATATATATATATATATATATATATATATATATATATATATATATATATATATATATATATATATATATATATATATATATATAGCACAATAATATAGCACTATATATAGCACAATAGCAATATATATAGCACAATAATATATATATATATATATATATATATATATATATATATATATATATATATATATATATATATATATATGTATATATATATATATATATATATATATATATATATATATATATATATATATATATATATATATATATATAACACAATAATTGACGTCATAAAATTCTCTCTATTTTTTTATTTTTTAAATTAAATTAAATTTTTTAAATTATAGCAATAATATTAATTACCGCAAAATGAATTAAAATGAATTGCTACTTAACGACTTTTTATTATTACTATAAAGGAATGTTTATTCTATTGTTATTACTTTTTTAATATTAAATAATTAAATTTAATATTGCATTTTTAAAAATAATTGGTGTTAACAAGTTTCTTTCTTTTCTCAAAATTTGCATAAATGAATTGAAATCTGAGATAAGATACCAGATTTAGTAAACTGAGAATAACAGAGCTTAACATCAGACAGGACCTTTTTATATTGGCTTCTTGGAATAATAAAAGGACTTTATATGGAAAATTTTTAGGGAAATTTCGAAAAATTCAAGGGAAAATAACCTGTTTTTGTAAAAAAATTACATTTGATCGGCAAGCTTTGAAAAACTATTTCGAGCTCTGCATATTATGGATATAAACATATATGTTTGCTATTTATTTAGATGCTGGCATACACTATCCTTTCATATTTATATCATCTTAAGTATTTATATGGTGTAGTATTTGCTGAAAAGAGGAAGATGATCAGATGGATGTGTGGTGTGACTCTAGCAAGACAAGAAAAGATGGCATTGTCGTAGATATATTAAAAAAAATCATTGTATTGAACAACGTTTGTTAGAAAAGATTAAATTAATTTAGGTATCAGCATGTAGAGAGGTAGCAGCTTCAAGAGAAAATGGTATTGTTAGAAGTAAGAAAACTTCAAGAGAGTATCTTACATATTGTATGAATAAGCTTTAGTTAAAAAAAAAATGCTCTAGATTGTTTATATTAGAGAAATAGAATAAAAGAGGAAGGCTAATGCCTGATGAATAATAATGATGATGATGATGATGATGATGATGATGATGATGATGATGATGATGATGATGATGATGATGGTATTGATGATTATGATGATCATGTTGATCATAATGATGTTTATATATGCATCTGTATACAAAATATAACATGAATTTTGAATTAAAAAAATATATATTAGGATGTGCAAATGTTTATGCAGCCCTGGTCACAAATATGGCCCAGGCTATATTTTTCAAACTCAGCCCTGGCCCCGATCAAATATCAACCCTGGTCTCTTACTATAGCATAGTACATCTTTAACCCAGAAATATTTATCAGAAAAAATTAAAGTTATTTTTATACTCCTAATATAGAGTATAAAAATCAATATTAAAAAAATGCTTAAATTTTGCAAATTTATTGAGATTTTGTATAAAAAATACTCAGTAATAAAGCCAAAACAATAATATGTATGTTTTAATTTAAAGTATAGGTAGTTTAGACTAATTTTTTTTCAAGTTTCAGCAATACAGGTTTACATTTGACCTTCCCTCAATGAAACAGAAAACTGCAATTTTCAACCAAAAATTTGACCTTTTTTTTCAAAAGCCTTGAGGTAGGGTCTAGATTGATCAAAAATGCAATTAAAACAACTATAGATTTTAGCTGAAAATACAGAATGCAAATTGAGTTAGCTTATTTGTATCCTAATGCAAATTATTTGTTAAAGTTATAAATTTTCTTGTTTATAGTTGGGCTTATCAATGCTGATGGTAATTCAAACCGTACATCTCGATTTGTCAATTACTTAAGAAATATGCTACCATGCAGTGATGTAACAGTCATGGAAATGGTGGCAAAGACCGTTGGTAGGTTATCACAAGTTGGTGGAACATTTTCATCAGATTATGTAGAGTTTGAAATTAAGAAAGCTTTAGAATGGCTTTATGGAGATCGGCATGAAGGAAGAAGGCATGCTGCTGTGAGTATTATATGTTATTATTTAAAAGAAATATTAATTGAAGGAAAATATATATATATATATATATATATATATATATATATATATATATATATATATATATATATATATATATATATATATATATATATATATATATATATATATACAGTATTGTGAAAAATTTAAGAACCATCAAAAAAAAAATCATAGTTTATTTTTATTTTAAAGTTTTTATTTAGTCAAATATATTTTTCTGGTAAAAAAATAATAATAATAATATGGTTTGAAAATTGACAAAAAAAAAATAAAAAATAATAATAATGCCAAACTTTTAAACAAATAAAATGTTGGTAAAATATTGCACAACTCTTTAAGGCTCCTTGGTGCTTTCTTGGAAATCTATCAAGCCAATTCCAAATAATAATAATAATAATAATAATAATAATAATAATAATAATAATAATAATAATAATAAAAATAATAATAATAATTATAATAATAGCAATAATAGCAATAATAATAATAATAATAATAATAATAATAGCAATAATAATAATAATAATAATAATAATAATAGCAACAATAATAGCAATGATAATAATAATAATAATATCGATAATAATAATAATTATAATATTAATAAACGAAATGAATTAATATTTAAATGTCGCCAAGAAAACAAATTTCTTATCTGCAACTTTAACGTCATCTAAGCTAACACTGTATTGTATTTTTGTATATAATTTTTGTTGTTGTTATGGTTGTTTGTAATATCTGATGATCGCATAAAGCGTGAAACTCTGAGTTAGGTTACAAATATACAAGGGTGTGTGTCATAAGTATGTTTAGTAGGTTAACATACTTATGACACACACCCTTTTTTCCATCCAACTTTAATGCAGTTGAAAATAAATATGGTAAAACTGCTTCTGATGTATATATATATATATATATATATATATATATATATACATATCTCTCTCTCTCTCTCTCTCTATATATATATATATATATATATATATTATATACTTGCTAAATTTGTATTTGCAATTATTGATAGTATCTCATTTGGAATGTCTGCTTTACCTGTTTCCGGCATTACATGTTTAATATAGTTGTTGTTTGGAAATAATACAAATCATAATGTTCTTCCTTTATGCTCTTGCATATACTCATTTATCATATATCTTTCACTTCTCAACAAAAGTTAAGTCTTTTTTCCCATCAAATCTAATACAAATTAATTCTTGTATCTTGGCAGCATGCTTAGAAACTTGTTTCTTTCAATAAAGACTTCTCTAGCGTCTATGTTTTGCAGGATCTATTGCAGATTCTGCTGACAATAGCTTCACATCTTTTAGCACTGCATTTTTTTGGCACTGTGCAAGACAAATCTACTAATTACTAATTATGCATATATATATATATATATATATATATATATATATATATATATATATATATATATATATATATATATATATATATATATATGTATATATATATATACATTTTTTTTTTTTTTTGCAGGTGCTTGTACTAAGAGAGCTAGCAATAACAGCACCAACCTTTTTCTTCCAACATGTCCAATCGTTTTTTGATTATTTTTTCAATGCTGTTCGTGATCCTAAGGTAATATATTGCATTCATACCATTATTATTTATGATACATTAAAAAATTATAATAATAAAAATATATTATTAAAAATAGATATACCATTAACTAAAATTCAAAAAAATTTAATTTTATAGCCACAAATCCGTGAAGGAGCTGCAGAAGCTTTGCGAGCATGTTTTGCAATTATAGCTCAACGAGAAACAAAGAAAAATCACTATACTCACTACTATAAGGTAATTTCACAATTATATATGTATTTATAGCAATATTTTTATTATAAAATATTTTTTACAATTATATATGTATTTATAACAATATTTTTAATATAAGATATTTTTACAAATATATATGTATGTATAACAATATTTTTATTATAAAATATTTTTACACATATATATTAGTGTGGGTCACTTTTGAAATATTTTTGAATTTAGGTTCGGCTGGGCATTTTTCTTATGTCTTTGACCGTATGATAATGAGAAACAATTTTTTTTTTATTTGCATTTAATGTCAGGTAATATTTAGATTGAAAATTTAAGTTTTATCATAAATATATCGTTTATGCGAAGTTATGAAAAATGGTTTGCTACTACTCAATAAAATAAAGTCTAAAAAGATTCCTGAGCCTTAGTTAACCTAGTTACATCAACAATATATTAAAGTTACATCAAAAATTAAAATTTTATGGTATATTAAGTCTATACACGTAATAAGACATTAAAATATTGATAACAGCATTTTCCGCATATTTTTCTAAAATAAATTGTTTACTCATAATAAAAAGTTAAAATGCTGATTACAAAATTTTCATCAGATCTTTTTTTGATTGGCACACAGGCATCAGCTCTCTATGAGCCATTGTAGCCCTTATGAACCCATCTCTTCTCTCGGCACCAAACACCGACATTGAAGCCCGGTGACCTCTTTCACAATGCGTTCAATAGATTGACCGTGAATAAGGAAGTTTGGTACAACCATTGGATTATTAATAAACTGTATAATATCATCTCTAATCAAACAACAAGTAAGAACCGGTTCACTGATCTCCTCTGTTTTCCAATTGATTAAATCTATTAGATTATTTGATTCAGTGTTTATCACTGGTATTCTTCTAGTCCTGCATTTTCTGTCTCCAGCATCCTTTTTTTTTCTAAAATCAATTATTTTTTGCATTGCAAATCTCCTTTCTCCTTCATCTGAACTACAGAGCATTGTCTGAAGAATACATTCACTGTGTGCATTCCAGGCAGAGGAGCAGACATGCGGTAATACAATATCCTTCACAAACTTGTTCTGTTTTTTTACCAAGGCTAGTTGCTTAAGGATATGATGTGGGCCTTGAATCCAGCTATGTTTAGTCTAAAGTCAATTACTTTTCTTTAGCATAATCACAACTGTTTTACAATTATTAAAGTAAAAAACCTGCATCTTTGGCTGCTTTTAATGTTGCAGTGCCTATTGATGCAGTTGCTCTGTTACTTGTACCAAATCGTAATGCTGACAAAGCGATATGATTTACATTTAAGGTATTTAGCTGAGAAACTTTTTTTTATTTCTGGTAAATAAAGATTGTCATTATAATCATTTTCAGCATTGTCTGACTCCACATCATTTTGAGATAATACTTCAGAATACTGTACAGTCTCAATCCTATCTCTCTTTGATTTGTTCTGCTTTCTTTGATGGTATTTTTTTTTGTCTGGATACTTCTTTTTTATCAACTGAACCTATTTGCATTCCCCTTTTAGAACCAACTTTATCCCTCTGTGACTTTAAAAATTTAAGTTCAATAATAGGAATTTTTTTTTCCTGAGAACATTTGCAAACAATATGAAAAACTTGGTTGCAGCCATAACAATCGGATTTTTCGCATGATTTTATTGAACATTTACACTTAGCTATGTCAAACAGTTTATCTAAGATTAATTTATGATCAGAAAGTTGCTTAGATGTTCCCCTACCTAACGCCAGATTATATGCTTTTTTCCAGTCATATATGATTCTTTCTTTTCCTCTTTTATCAGAGATAATTGATGTAAGTGGATTAGCTTTTTGCCATAAATATTTTACTGAGGTCCACAATTTTTCAGAAGTTAGCCTTAAATTTTGGTTATTTTCTTCAATCCTTCTAAGAAAGAGACCATATCTTAAAACATCTCTTAAAGTTGGTAGTTCTGACTCTAATAATGTTTTTCCTGTACCAATTAGCTTTGTTAATTTACATTTAACTTTATCACGAGTGTTTTGAGCCATTCTTTATAACTGTAAACTTATTTCTATACAATAAATACATGCGTTATTATTTCTTCCTTTTAATAACTAATAAAACTGCTACTAGTGGTCCGACTTTAGCGTACATAAACAAAATTTTCAGAAATACGTCATCAATACATTTTAAAAAGTTAACTGTAAACCATTTCTATGGTAAAATACCCCCCTTAGTTGCAATATTTTAGGATCATATTTTGACATTTTTATTGATAAAATAGGTGTAGTTTAAGACATTTATTGATTTAAAATGGTTTGAAGATGGCAAAAGTAAAAAAATTGACAAAACTCTGGGGAAATTATATATTTATGATAAAACTAAAATTTTCAAGCTGAAAATTACCTGACTAAACATTAAATGCAAATAAAAAGAGAATTGGTTCTCATTATCATACGGTCAAAGGCATAAGAAAAATGCCCAGCCGAACCTAAATTCAAAAATATTTCAAAAGTGACCCACCCTAATATGTATTTATAACAATATTTTTATTATAAGGTATTTTCACAATTATATATTGTATATATAGTTGTCATAATTATATATAAAAAGCTGTAAGTAAATGTCAGGGAAATTTAATGGTGGGAGAGAGCTCCAAAGCATTAATGGTTGATTAAAACAACTAGATAAATAAAACAAAAATTTTAGCATGAAGGAATGGTTACAGTAAAGATGCAACTATGTAACTGTTATATTCATGAATGTAGAAAAACTACATTTATAATTAAAACAGTTACAAAGAAAGAAATTCTTTAAAAAAAGTTTACATTTATTTTATTATATTTATATTTTTTTTATATAAATTTTATTATTTATATATATAAATTTATTTTATTATATTCAATTTTTTTTTATTATATTGAAGTTTTATTATTCATATATATAAATTTGTTTTATTATATTGAAATTTATTTTATTATATTCAAGTTTTATTATTCATATATATAAGTTTGTTTTATTACATTATAATTTATTTTATTGTATTTAAATTTATTTTATTTAAATTTTATTATTCATATATATAAATTTACTTTATTATATTTAAATTTATTTTATTATATATAAATTTTATTATTCATATATATATAAATTTATTATCTTGTATTTAAATTTATTTTATTATATATAAATTTTTTTATTAAATATATTTAGCAAGTGTATACTGAAGCAATGAAAGGAATAGATGATGGAGCTACTTCAAGGGAGCGTGGAAATATTTTAAGTAAAGAAGATAAGGTTCATGGTTCTTTACTTGTATTACAGGAACTTATTAGAAATAGCAGTATTGAAGGAGAGGTAATTGTTTTGCTGTAAATTATTGACTATTTAAAATTTTAAATCATATCAAATTATAATCAAGTTTTGCATAATTTTAAGGTTATTCTTGATTTGTCATTATGGTAATGAGCATTATTCTTCTAGATGCACTTAATTTTTTTATATCTACTAGGATTTTTTTTCTACTAGGATTTTTTTTTACCTATATTTCAGTCATTATTAAATTGTTTACTATATATCTATTCTGTAAACTAAATGTTTTCATTTCTTATAAGACAATATATTTTGTAAGCAAGATGTTTTTATTACATATAAAACAATACATTATGAAAATGTGTTTTCTAGTCTACCATGATAAGCATTATTTTTTTGTGTGCACTTTTTAATGTTGAAGCATTAAAAAAGTTTTGTCATTTTTTCTATCCGTAATCTTGAAACATAAATTTTTAAAACCTTTTTGAGGAAATTTTAGTCTTTAATATTAATAATCATTGACATATCCAGTAGTTAATTAGGCACACCATTTAAAAAAAAACAAAGTACCGTAAAATCTTGATTATAATACGCACTCGTGTATAATACGCATGCTTGATTTTACGCGAAATTTCGACGAAAAATTAAAATTCGACTATAATACGCACCTATTACTTATCAATATTTTATTTAAAAATCGTTAAAATAATTTTAATCAAATAAGTTTCTTAAAATTCCAAATAATTATTTGAAATCACAAAAATTACTCAGCAAACCAAAACTTAACGCAGAAATTAAATATTCTTTGTGAAAATGAGCCTTTTTCTAAAAAAAAAATATTTTTTTTGAATAATGCGTATAATTTACAGTTGAAGTAAATTTAATACATATTATTTTTTTAAAAAATAAATTACTAAAAAATTTTAAATTTCAAAATGCAGCCTATCCCAAGGGCGTGTTTTTTTATGTATCAAATATTATTTTACGTGATACTGTCCCCATTTATAATGGTCAGGGGTGTTTGATCTGCATTTCCAAAATGGGAAAAATCATAATTATGTTTCTTTCTCAATTTTATCACGAACTTTTGGAACTCAAGAAGTTTTTCTTCTTGATCGTCTGCAATATGCTGCGCGATGGTGGTTCTTCTACGAACAGAAAGCCTATTTCGTTTCATGAAACAAACTCCCCATCCGTACGAAGCTTTGAATTGTGTTGCGTTGGCACAAGATTTTTTGACTTCTAGAGCTTTTAGTCTGATTTCAATGCACGAAACTCTGATACCTTGCTGTCTCATCTACTACCCACTCCATTACAGCCTTTTCCAGTTCTGGAAAACTAGGTCATAATCCCTGATTCGCCTTTTTCTTCCTGGGCATAATTTGTAGAGCTTCTTTGTTTTTTTGCCGCAATCAAACATTTGCTTCGTTTATGGAAAAGTGACGACTTGCTTCTCGATTTCCATGAGACTCAGCATATTTAACTATTGATAGTTTTTCTGCTGCTTTTTAGGACCGTCTTGAAGACATTTTTACGGAAATAAATAAAATAAAATAATAAATTTTTGTACTTGCAACAACTATCACTTTTTAGATGAACGCGTGTGCGATACGCACAGTGAGTTCGGTTTTGGTAACCTTTCTTAAACATGCGGTTGAATTAAGCAGTAAAGATGTGAGCAGCTGTGCTATACGTTTGTTAATTGTTTAAAAACAACTATTTTTTTATCTCAAGTATAATACGCACCCCCATTTTTTCGGAAGAAAATGTGAAAAAAAAGTGCGTATTATAATCAAGATTTTACGGTAAAATTATACTGGTATATATATATATATATATATATATATGTATATATATATATATATATATATATATATATATATATATATATATACATATGTATATATATATATATATATATATATATATATATATATATATACATATATATATATATATATATATATATACATATGTATATATATATATATATATGTATATATATATATATATATATATATATATATATATATATATATATATATATATATATATATATATATATACATACAAAATCCTAAGAACTCCATCTCTAATCGTAAATATGGTTTTCAAACATATCATCAAAATACCTCTTTGGTTTTGAAAACATATGCTCATGAGATCTGCTTGTATGCTCATTTGAACAACAATCTTAGTATAATTTTGAAGGATGCGAATAGATAATTCAGTTTAAAATATCAGGATCAGATCCCTCTAAAGGAAGGCTAATTACATTTGTAAGCTGTTCTAAATGAGATGTCTTCTGAGAAAGAAGCTTTAAAAAGTTTCTTATATCTATATTGTTTGCTTTTAGACCTTCTCAGATGAATTGCCAAGGCCATAACCATCATTAAGAATAATTAACTCAGCTGAGTAATGAAGGACTCCATGAAGAGTGTGGTTAATTTGTGCCCATAGCATATTGTAATAATGTTAAGTGTAGCATTATTGAACTAGACGAAGTATTACACTGATTTGAGCGTACAATAGTAACATGCTATCTTTGTACATAAGAGTGCATAGATTTTTTATTGTAGATATTAATTCTTCAGAAAAAAATCTTGTGTCTTGCAACCTTGTGACCCTGTTGTAGATGTCTCTCCATTCTCACCAGAGTTGCAACACATATCTAATAGCACTCCAGTGTTTTCTTTTATTGTAGTAGTAACCCTGTGTCTTGCATTATGTATTGGTTCACCAAGTGGTCTTGTTTTTTTTAAGCCAAAGTCTATAATCTATGTGACATCAATACAGTAGTTTTAAAAACCAGGTAGTCCCATTTATTTATGAATGTGTAATTTAATGTGCTTTTTAATATACATATGCTTTTTTGATCAGATTTGATTTGTAATTTTTTAGTCTGTTTTTTTTTTTTGTATTGTAAAATGTCTAGTTTTAGAAGGAATGATACCAATCTCATTCATACAATTTGCACCATACAGATGAGTTAAATTTTAAATTCTTCATTCTGTCTTGAATATAAATTTTGACATTGAAATAAGTTTTGCCAAACTGACAACACATTCCTTCGGCATTTAATTCTACTCATGCTTTATCAGTAGTTAGGACAATAAAATCAAGCAAATCTTGATTAGTTTCTGTTTCGCTTATCAAAAACACATAGCAGTCTTGATGCATTTGGTGAATAATTTTACCACAGTGTTATATTTTTATTATCTCTATGGCATATTAGTTTCAATAGAATAAGACCATATTGAAACATTTGATTTGCTTTCAATCATTTAATTTCATTGATATTTGTTGCCCTGCTCCACCACAGCTATCCTTAAAACACATTTAATACTCATCACCATCTACTGAAACAAAAGAATCTTTAATTTATATTTAAAACAGAATCAGTTATCATTCTTACAAGTTATTTGTATTGAACAGAAACACCTTGTGCATCCAAAAATAATTGTAGTATCTATACCTTGTGTATCCAAAAACTAGTTGTAGGTTGCGTTTTTTTTCCTTCCTTCAACTAATTCGTTGGTTGTTGGAGAATAGATGACTTTTAAAGCAAAAAAAAAAGCTTAATTTTTTCATTTGCTTCCTACTTAATTTAAGGGAATTCATCAAAACTATAGATTCATTTGTGTTATAGATATCTATTGTTTTCATATGGTTTTCAAAAAGTGCATTTCCAACAGGAGCTATAGTCTTATTATTTTCTATATAATTTGTCTGCTACTTCGTAAATAATATCTTTTTACAAATTTCAAATAAAATTACCTAGTCAAGTTTAAAAAACAAAACACAAAAACAAAAAATACAATTAAAACAAATTACTCATTTTAAAATTAATTTATTGAAAAATATATTCCATATCAAGTTAAAAACAACTTTTACATTAGCTGTTTATCAATTTGCATGTTGTTAAAATTATTTTAAATGAAAACCATCTGAATTTACTAAGTTTTTATAGATATATATTAAAAACTTGGAAATTAACTTTAAAATTGCATATCATCACTGATAAATTAGCTAAAAACATATTTTTTTTGTATTTATCCAAAAGTTTATGTGGCTTTCTAAATAAATAATTTTTATAAGCATTCTCAAAAAATTTCTTTTTTGTCTATTTCCACCTATGGGTTCACTATGCAATGAAAGTCTATTTGTAAGAAGAATTGCTACTATGTCAGTCTCTGCTGCTGTATCACTTCTAATACCCTTACTGCTGGTTTCAGCAATCAAATATATGTAAACATTTTTCCACTTCTAGATGTCCATCCATAAAAAACAATTAAGAATGTTCATTTTCTATACTTGATTGCTCATTTGACTTCTTATACACCGTTGGGCACTTAAAGCAGCAAAGATAGCATTGGATACATTTAATTGATTGACATTGAGTAGCAGTCTCATTAGATCAACTTAGTTCATTGATTGTTGAACATTTTTATTAAAATTTTCTGGGTAAAAATCTATAAGCTCATTAATACCAGTCGAATATAATCAGGATTTTATCCCTTTGATTAATAATCTTTTTAACTTGACAAAACGTTTGTTCAGCAATTATAAAAGATGATTAGAGTGTGAGGCTGGATGGTGAATGAAATGCTCTATCATAAAAGCTGTGTATATATTCTGAAGATGTAAAAGATTGTCAGGTTCATAAAAAGTCAAAATCTTTAAAAAATAATTGTCTAGTTTGCTTTAAAGAGTATTCTGCTATTCATTGTTTATTTCCATTCATTGTTATATTGCAACAAACCATTCATTGTTATATTGCAACAAACCATTCATTGTTATATTGCAATAAACCATTCATTGTTATATTGCAATAAACCATTCATTGTTATATTGCAACAAACCATTCATTGTTATATTGCAACAAACCATTCATCGTTTTTTTTTTTTTTTTATATTATCTTTGCTTCCAACAAGGCTGCAAGCAACCACTAATTAGTGTTGGAAGTTACTGGAAGAGAAAAGATGAAGATTATAGAGCAAGATAACGATTGACAGACGACTTAAAAGATTGCAAATTATATGAA